AATAACTCAAACTTCCATTAAAATGTTCTTAAAACATAACCAGTTTGACTGTCAAGCTAGTGGTTTGTTAGTTTTCTTTTTATTTAACCAACTTCCTCCCATCCTGAAAATCTGCGAGAAAATTGTTACTTTCTATATCGGGGTAAATTTCTGAGGGGAAAACAGTGCAGTGAATTAGGAAAATTATATGCTATTTTATTTTGAAATATTTAATTTGGTATGCCAATAAATTTTAAAAACAAGCTTTATGTTATTTATTTTAATTGTAAGAGCATTAAAAATAACTTTCAAGTAAGACCTGTTATCTGGATTGAAAAACAGGAAAGTTGCAGCATTTACAAATTCTAAATTATAGGGTTATTAATGTCCTGAATTTCTATTACAGTCTGAAAAGTTGTCATCCGTCACAAAAATTGACATAGTTTTATTTATTTTTTTTATTTGCCATGAAACAACTAGGAGCTTTTTGATTATTTAGATTAATAACGTGTATTTTTTGTGTGTGTTTTATTAAATAAGTAATAATAAATCTTTATTAACCCTGAAGACTTACCATAAAAAATATATATTGCCATTCAAATCCTTTGTGTCTAACATGCTAGCCAAGAACAAAAAGATTGTTTTTTTCTTTCAGGGGATGACGCTCAACAGGGGCGGCACCGTGGCTCAATTGGTAGAGCTGTTGCCTCTCAGCGAGAAGGTTGCCGGTTCAAATCCCAGCTTGGTGCTTTCTGGGTGGAGTTTGCATGTTCTCTCCGTGTGTGTGTGAGTACTCTGGTTTCCTCCCATGGACCAAAAACATGCATGTTAGACTGATTGGTAACTAAAATGTCCCTAGGTGTGAGTGAGAGAGTGAATGGTTGTTTGTCTCTGTGTGTCTCTGTGATGGACACCATCCATGGTGTCCACCGCCTCTCACACAGTGACTGCTGGATATGGGCTCCAGTGACCCCCATGACCTGAGATGGAAGAAGTGAGTAAAGATAATGGATGGATGGACCCCATCAGGAATGAAACTCACAAATCCAGTGGACTGAATCAAAAGTGCAGCCGAATGACTGATAGTAACAACCTTACTTTAAGAGATCTGTTAAAAAGGTAAAGTTTCTAGATCCTGGCTCTTATAACAAAGGAGAAAACTGCATTTTACATCTGCTCTATTAATATTGCTATGTGGTGAGAGAAAGCCAAACACAGAGCTCCTGGTGTCCTCCACCTGCTCAGGACTCTGTGATGTCAGCAAGTTTTCAGTTTACTGCTGTGAGAGCTAAAAGCTGAATATGCAGACTCTCTCTGCTGGGTCAATTAGGTATTTTTAGCGTTTAACGTGTAAAGAAGTGAAAAATCAAAAGGACTTTGAAAATAATTGGAGCCACTTACTGTGTTGTTCTTTCTCTTTAAAAAAAAAAACAAAAACAAGAAACAGATTTTTTTTTTTTAAAGATCCCTGTGACTTGTTTTATTGCAGCTGACCCCATTAAAGGATAAAACATGTAATTACTCTCCTCGATCTCACATCGTAAACATGCTCTAATTTATTTAGGAACTCAAATACAAAACCTCCCTGCATGAATAAGTATTTTCTGCTTCACATATCTGAGCAAGTAATTTCAAATGGAAACGTGCAACATATTAAATTTTAGCAGCTGCAGTTTATACAGTTCAGGTCACATGACCATCTTCATGTGTATTCTCTCCATCTTCTATTACTTATCTGTGGTCGGGTCATGAAGGCAACAGGTTCAGGAAAAAAAAACAGACAACCCTCCCCAAAGCGACACACTCCAGCTCAGTGGTGTGGTCTACATTTTTGTAGTGGGTATACTGTCCTTAGAAACCAAAGTACACCAGTTAGTACAAAGTAATCGTTAATTTATTTTGATTTTTTAAGCATATTGAACATTTCAAAATTTCTCTGATGCTTTTATTTGAATAAATGTACAACAAACTTTGTACAACAGTTGGCTTTGTATTAAAAACATTGAATTTATGAAACAGTATCAAAGCAAAACATGTTAAAGTATTAAGTACAGAAGTATTACTTATACAAAAAGCAGGTTGAACCAACTCAGTGTGTCTATAAAATGTTCCAAATGTGTTGACATTGATTGTCATTGCCAATGATACGTGACATGAGGGCAAACGAGCTGGCTTTATAATAGTTAGATCAGAATCCGTTTAGAGTGTATTATAAGACAATTTAACAAGTAAAATGCTTCTTAAGAAGACAGGTAATCAATCGTTTCATTTTTATAACTCCACTCTGAGGAATCTTTTTCAATATGTTTTAAGTCATCAGTGCCGTGAAGTGTCATCCAGTTAGCTCTGAATTCATCTGAATGTGTGCAGACATGTAACCCTGTGCATTTCAGTGTTGTCTTTCAGCTTCTGTCACATCATCAATAAACCCAAGTGACCCAGAGCCACCGTAGGGCATGCATGCATGTCATCCCACAGCCCCCTCACGTCTTACAGATGATGCTTCTTCATCATGAGCTGTTCCAACCCTTCTCCTCAGTTTCTATTCCCCGTCATTCTTGTGCAGGTGGATTTAATCTTGCCTTTAAAAAAAAAAAGTCAACTGAAGGTTCCCCCACCCACCCAAGTCTATCCATTTTTGAGGTTTATGAAATATTTGCACCTGCAGTGAACTCTAAATTGGTTCTCATGAAGTCTTTTTATGGTAGTTCAGGATAAATATATCCTTCCCTTACGGTGTGTTCAAGGCTTGATCTGAAGATCTGTGAAATGCTGCAGAGCACACCAACGTGCTGTTCTAATGGATTTAGGTTTTTATGCTGTATATTTAAACAAAAGTGTTTTTTTTCTGATCGTTTGCTTTGAATCGCAACAAGTTTGCACATGCAAATGCCACAAAAACGCCTGATTAAAAAAAAAAAAAAAGCTTAACCAGCCCAAAACTGTACGTAAAAATCTTTTGAATCAACAACCACACCAACAAAATGTTCCTTAGTTTTATTCATTTGAAAAAATAAATGGACGCGATCGAACTTGAAAACCAGTTTTAACCTGAATGTGTTGGACTCAGCTGCAACTTTGTCAAATTTCACCAAGTTGTTTGTAAAATTGACTGAATTATGTCCATGTTTGTGTTTTGAAGGTCAGCTGGCTGTGGCAGCCATCTTGAATGTGTACAACCGTTGCTTATTTCCTGGAAATTGAGTTAAAATCCATCAAGTGGTTCGTGAGAAATTTCGCTAACAGTCGACTCCAAATAGTTAATGGCAAAAAAGACATTGTGCAATTTCTTGGCGCTCAGATTACGTGTTGGGGATCAGGCTCAGCTACAACCATTCATTTTTAGGTCTTTACCTGTAAAATATACTGAGTTAGTCATTGTAGTGTTTCTGAAGGACACCTGGCTGTGGCGGCCATCTTAAAGCAGTTTGGCTCCAGAAGGTATTACTTGTAGATGTGCACTCATTGATTACTTTATGCATATTTGATTTAAATTTAAATCAAGCTTGTATCTAAATATTGCCAGTTTTTTGTAGTGATGGTAATATTATTTAAATAATTGCTGCAGTCACAAGTTATATTATTTAAACAAAGTCAAAATGTTAGATTGCTTGACTTGTATTTGTTGTTCTATGGTTATATTTTGTATAATATTTTGAAAAAAGAGCTTTTTTTCTAGATGTTTGAAAAGAAAAAAGGCCAACATCTCTAACATTGTGTCTTCACAAGCCACAGATGAAATCAAATCTTTGTTCATCCAAAAGCCTCCGAACACTTTGGTGTTTAGATCTGAGCAGTAAACAGACAACATTCAGTTTTCTGTGCATCAAAAAGACAGAACTCCTGCAGGCACAGTGCTCCACTGGAGGAGAGAAGTCTCATGATTTATGCCAGTCTAAACAATATAATTACATGTCTGTAATTTTTTCCGCTTCGATGTTAGGCAGCAGGTGTGATGAAAAGCACTCAACCTGATTATCAGCTCATAAGTTCTGCTGGGAAGGATTTTCTTTTTTTAAATTGCATGTTTTTATTGACTGGTAGCTTGTTGATTTTTTTTTTTTTTTCAGAAAAGCTATAAAAAGCATGCGAGTTCTTGACATGGACTTCTTTCTGCTCCTCGGGAGCCCTTTATTTCCTGATGTGATTCACACCCCGAGGAAATGCTGCCATTTTCCTATTTCTACTAGCCTCAGAATCATCAGCATTTCTACCTCGACGACATGAAAACGCACGAAGACTGAGCGCCTGCGCCCGAGTGTGAGGCTTCAAACCTCCCTGTCAGCAATCGCTGGGTGGGAGACAGCCATAAAGCAAGCTTTAGAAGCCTATAATGGCCTACTGCAGCGCTGGCAAAACTTATATCACATTATGCTTCTTCCCATTCAGACACAAATAGGATCATTATTTTTGATAACTATATAGGAAGTGCAGGGTAATTCAATTACGTTACTCGCCACTGCATAATTCAGCGTTCCAGCTAAATCATCATGTCTCAACGCATCCTTGGTGGTATTTATTACAACACAATCAATAGCACGTCACGTAACAAATTAGACAACTGAGACTGATCCACATGTAATTCTAACCTTAATGTAAAGCTGAACACTGACCGCTTAGTGGCCGTTTTAGTTTTTTACAAGACGTTGTACTGTCATGTGACAGAGGTGGGAATTTACAGCAGAGCCTATAAAGTGGGGGGGGGGGGATGCTGCCCTCGTGTCAGCCAATAAAATGATGAACGCTCACTAGTGTGAAAGCGGAGGCGTTTTATTATTAAGAAAGCAGAGAACATTTCTCAGTGGACCAAGCGTTTCACAAACAGAGGCTGTACAAATACTAGTACACAATCAAAACCTAACTTCACATGTTTTTTTAAACATGACTAATCAAAGGTATTCTCAGAAAATGTATAAATCTTAAGTTACTTGTTAACAATGCTGCAAAATTATTTTGCTAAAGTAAATTTGAAAATTTTACACAAACTGGAACTTTATTTTTTTTAACTGAATAAACGATCTAATGAGCTATAAGGTTGTAAAATTCATGTAGTTACTATTATTTCTTCACACAGTCTCCTCCACAATGAACTCGATGGCGTGTTGCGGTGAATGGCTCGTTTCCATCACGGCAACTCCGCTCTCGTTGATGGCGATGGTGGGAACGGTTATGCCCTGAGCTCCCAGAACTGAGGAGGGCAGGATGACGACCTGCGAGGCTCCCTCGATGCCGCTGAGCTGGTCAGAAGGAATCATCACCGTCTCCGTGCCACCGTCTCCTTCCTGCACCACGTAGATGGTCTGTACGGTGCCGGTCTCCATGTCGGTTGTGTCGGACAGGGACGACAGCACCTTGGCCCCCTCCAGCACCTTCTGGACGTGCGCCTCCTCGGCCGCTTGCGCCACTTGCTCGATGGTTTCCGGAGCGAGGTCTCCGTGTATCCGCAAGTGCTTATCCAGGTTGGGGCGGGCGCGAAAGGCGGCGGTGCAGTGGGGACAGGGGTAGGGCTTCTCGCCGCTGTGGGTGCGAGCGTGCTCGGTGAGGCGGGCTGCAACGCTGAAACTCTTGCCGCAGACCCAGCAGCAGAAAGGCCGCAGGCCAGAATGGATTCGCTCGTGGTCCTGGAGATGGGGCAGCTGGCGGAAACGTTTCCCACACGTGGCGCACTGGAAGACGGTCGGAGGACAGCGAGGAAGAGGAAAGGGGACAAACGTGCAAAAATATTAAAAGTTAGTTTAAAATTTGATCATTGCATCAACACAGAATCTACTGCAACCGTCTTAAGAAATAGATAAAAAATTGTTACACACAATCTGATGATTGTTAGGTCATTTTCACGCCCGATAGTTCGGTAGACTCGGTTCGATTGGGAACCAATATTCAGAACATTTGTTTACATTTCGGCTGATAACAGTTCACATTCACACTGCACTGAGTCAATAGAGCTAACCGAACAGAGACCAAACAGAGACCGAACAGAGACCTAGGCTTTTAGGCAGACCAGAGTTCGCTTTTTGGTCCGCATCAGAGTTCGACTGCACATTCACACATCCCCAAACGAACCGGACGTTCTAGGCAAACGGACTAGAGTTTGATTAAAGCGGACTAAACAGGGCTGGTGTGAATGCACCCTTAATGTTTTTATAAACTGACCAAAGCTATAAAACTCGACATTCTTCTGTTTCACAGATTTACAATAACTAGCATTCAAAGTTGTGAGGCACAAAATCTGAGAAAGAAAGTCCTTTTCTGCTGATTAATATTCTGTCTTCAACACAATCAATTATGTTGCTGCTGAAGTTCTGCATGTAAAGGAAAGTACAACAAATTACACAAAGTATTACTCGTTTTACAACAAGAAATGATTCAAGTGGGCTGCAAGTTTAACTGTTTCTAAATGAAGTGATCAGGTCAGCTGTCTACTGCTGTCCTTTTCCTTCCACACAGACATTTGTTCTGTTTTCTTCCACCTGAACATAGACAGTGTGCTACAACTAGACGCCTGATTACATCTGAGGCACAACAAAAGAATGAAGCTGGGTTTAACTCTCACTGAGGACACACAAATTAAAACTGTGAACTCGGACATATCAGCGCCTTAAAAACCTCTAAATCTCTCTCTCTCTTCAGAAACACGACGTGGTTGTTAAAATTGAAGTTTCTGCACATGGACCTAAGTTCACGGCATGCCTGGCAGGAACCACTCAAACAAAGACACAAAGATTGAATGATTTCCTCAAACCCAGTATGCTGAGATGATTTTTTTGCGGGTCTATGCTTGATGTCCTATCCCATCACAAGAGCAGCAGAGAGAAGGAAAGAATCCCAGAATAGAAACAGGCACAGAGGGGAGCTGACAGGCCCTAAGTCAGCCCCGTCATTAATCACAGGTACACAGGGAGATGGGAATCACCCCTAGGACACAAACTGCATAAATGTCCACGGCACGGAAGCTGAGAAATGGTCACCACTATGGTGCGTGTAAACATCTTGTATAGAAAGGACAAAATCTGGTTCTGAAGGCTGAGAGAAAGTGACTTTTTATACAAGAACACACAGGCGCTACAACAACTCTTACCTCAAAGGGCCTCTCATCAGTGTGTGTCCTCATGTGAACACTGAAGGTGGATTGGTAGGAAAACTCCTTCAGGCAAATCTCGCAGCGGAAGCGAGGTCGGTTTTTGGACTTGGAGAGCGTCCCTTGGAAATGATCCAGCACGTGCTTCTCCAGGGTACTGTTGGAGGTAAATCGGCGGCGGCAGGGCCTCACTGGGCATTTCAGAGGCGTCTGGCCCGTGTGCGACAATCGATGAAGGTCGAGGCCCTCCTGAGTCATGCAACGGTGACCACAAAGGTCGCACTCCATCTGTGGGAGGAATAAAGCCAGACATGGGATGGTGACAAACCAAAAACTAATGGGATGAAAATAAGAAATGAAAGGAATGTCCTTGAGGTCAAACTGTGACGCAACCACAAAGTCACCGTTTGATTTCCCTGGAAACCTGCATTAGGTTATATTCTCTTACACTACACCCCGCTTCACTGTCAATGCCACAAAAATAATTAAATATCTTTGTTTCAGAAAGAAAACTCTTATATCCAACTGTCCTACCTGTCCAGTAGAACGTCCACGGCCCTGTCCTCGTCCACGGCCGACATTTCTCTCATCTTCTGTGACAGGACACCGCTGCAGGTGAGAATCCAACACGGACTGGTTGATAAACTGGGAGGAGCAGTGCGGACACGCCACCGGCTGCTTGTCTGTAACGGGACAGTGTTGAGCTTTAGCAGATGCTCCTTTACTCTCAAGGTAAAAGCTAATGTGTCGTTATAAATATTTGAAGGCTCATCTGAGAGTGCAGATTAAGTTCAGCCCTATAGTCCTGGAGTGACGGACAGTGCGAACAGAAATGGCTGATGAAAGGAGATGAACATTCATGACGCCATTTTGACTGTCTCAACATCAGATATTTAACAAATGACCACAAAGACACAAATGAACTGAGCATACGATTCCCAAAAGATGCTGAGCATGGCCTCGTGCTCATATCGAGCACCCAAACAGCTGGTCAGTTAATCAGCTGATCCACTTATAACCATGTGGCTGTCAGTACACTTTTATAATGCATCCATAATGAATGGAACAGCAAAACATGTGTTGAATCCAGATGTTATTGTATGCAGTCTTCTCCCTGTGGACACCCCTGTGACTGATCCATAATAAATAGTTAATTACACACCATCATCATCGTTACAAATCCTTTCCTGTCTTTTTTGTCTAAAAATGTCAAATAAATCAAAACAAAAAAAGGAGCAGACTGAACAGAACTTGGATAATATGGATGAAAAAGAAAATCTTTGAATTTTATGAGCGCTGAACTTGCTAAACTGACTTCCCAACAGAATCTTTTGATGGGCTTGTTTGAAGAAACCAAGTAATTGAAACTACAAATAGTAAATAAAGATAAAAAAATAATGGAATTAGAGCAAAGAATAGATGATCTGGAACAGAACACAAGACTAGATAATCTAGTCATAACTGGACTTGAGATTAAGCCTCAGTCATACGCAAGAGTGGCTGCAGGTGAAAAAATGACTGAAGATGGATCTCAACGAGAACTTCGGACCTTGGAGGAACAAGTGGTCACCTATTTTCAAGATAAAGACATTGATCTTGATCATGATGACATTTCGACCTGTCACACATTGCCTAGTAACAAGGATAAAAACAAACCTATAATAGTGGTAAGATTTACTAACAGAAAGTCAAGGAATAATCTATTGATGCAGGCAAAAAAAACTAAAGGGAACAAATGTCTATATTAATGAACACTTAACAAAGAAAAATGGCACTATTGCTCGTGAGGCAAGGGTGTTAAAAAAAAAGGAACAAAATATTTTCTACTTGGTCAAGAAATGGAAAAATTTGGATTAAAGAACGAGACGGATCTCAAGCCAAGTGGATAAAAGATCTAAAGGATTTGGAAAGATTAAAATAATCCTAAATGATTATTATGAAATTTATTATGAAACATCTCGTACATACAGTATACTACATAAATTAAATACCATGGCAAAAAACTTCATTGAAAAATGATAATGAATAATGAATCAGAATTCAAAATATACAATGTAGATGATGTCATTAATAGAAATATTTTTCCAATAATTCAGAATAGCCAATATTATAATGTAGAACAATTCAACCAAATCAGTAAAGCTAATGAAGCACTCTCTATAATTCATTTTAACTCAAGAAGTCTTAATGCAAACATTTCTGAGATATCAGAATTCTTAAAAAGATTTAATACACCTTTTACAATAGTAGCAATATCTGAAACTTGGTTAAATGATGAAAACATACAAAACGTTTACATAGAAGGTTATGAACTTTATTATATGAATAGAAAAAACAAGAGGGGTGGAGTAGTGGCTTTATTTGTCAACTGTGAAATAAAGTGTAGATTGTACAGCGACATGTCATTAGTAGTCGACAATATAATGGAAATGTTAACAATAGAAATAATAAACAAAAATGGTAAAAACTTTATCATAAGTTGTGTATATCGAGCACCAGGTTCAAGAATAGAGTTATTCACTGATAAATTAATTGAGTTACTAGTAAAGAGTAGTAATAAAAATGTTTTTATATGTGGTGACTTTAATATTGATCTTGGTAACAAAACAAATTCAAATAGCCACGAAACTTTCATTGATTCAATGAGTGGTATATGTTTTTTTCCGTTAATAACAAATCCTACTAGAATCACATCCCATAGTGCTACAATAATTGATAATTTCTTTACAAATGTCATATATGGGGATGTGAAAAGTGGTATCTTAATGTCCGATATAAGTGATCATTTACCAATTTTTATAACTTATAACAATGATGATATTTGTGAGAAAACTATTAAAAAAAACAAGAGATCAATAAATACATCCAAAAGAGCTTTAGATAAATTTAGAAATGACCTAAAGCAACAAAATTGGGAAGATGTCTATGTAGACGACGTAAATATATCTTATGAAAAATTCATGAATATACTAGAAGTTCTGTACAAAAAAAATTGTGTGCAAATAAATAATAAACAAATAAAAAATAAGGTCGATCCACCATGGATGACAAACGGACTGAGAAATGCATGTAAAAAAAAGAATAATCTCTATTCATGTTTCCTTAAATCTAGAACGCATGATACAGAAACCAAATATAAAAAGTACAAAAACAAATTAGTAGGGATTATACGAAAACAAAAGAGGGAATATTACAGCAAATTATTAAACAAAAGTAGTGGAAATATGAGGGCAACATGGCAAGTATTAAATTCTGTTCTTAATAAAAATAAGGTTGGAAATGGTATTTCAAAATATTTTGTTGAAAATAACGTGGAAATCCACGATGAAAATGAAATTGTAAATGGATTCAACAATTATTTTGTGAATGTCGGGTCAAACCTCGCTGCAACAATACCAAATGTTGATGCAAATGTGAGTTATTTAATAAATAGTCGTGTAAATAGTATGCTTCTAAAGGGAACTGACAAAGAAGAAATAATGATGGTAGTAAATAAATTTGCTGATAAAAAATCAAGGGATTGTGAAGACATGGATATGACGGTTGTGAAGGAAATAATGAGTTGTGTAATTGAACCATTTACATATATTTGTAACTTGTCATTTTCAACAGGAATATTTCCTAACAGAATGAAAATAGCCAAGGTAGTCCCTCTTTTTAAGAATGGCAGCAAATGTCAATTTAACAACTACAGACCCATTTCTTTGCTGCCTCAATTTTCGAAAATCTTGGAAAAATTATTTGTAATCAGATTTGACCTCTTTTTAGAAAAACATAATATATTGAGTAATAGTCAATATGGGTTCAGATCAAATAACTTGACTTCAATGGCTCTGATGGAGTTGATAGAACACATTACTACAGCTGTGGATCAACAAAAATATTGTGTGAGTGTTTTTGTTGATTTAAAAAAGGCATTTGATACAATTGACCACACCTTACTTCTTGATAAATTGGATAAATATGGTATAAGAGGACCAGCTTTTCATTGGATTTGCAGTTATTTGCAGGACAGAAAACAATTTGTACAGATAGATGATATAAGATCATGCCTCTGTGATGTTTCATGTGGAGTACCTCAAGGCTCTGTACTTGGTCCTAAGCTGTTTATTTTATATATTAATGACTTAATTGATGTATCCAGTATCCTAAAATGTGTTCTTTTCGCAGATGACACCACTTTCTTTTATTCCGGTACTGATTTGGAACAAATGTTAGAGTTAATTAAGAGGGAGTTTGTCAAAATACAAACTTGGTTTAATTTAAACAAGTTATCATTGAATATTAATAAAACAAATTATATGATTTTTGGTAATAGAGTGACAACTACTGATGTTCCTTTCAAAATCGATGATATTGAAATATGTCGAGTGAGTGAAACAAAGTTTTTGGGTGTGGTTATTGATGACAGATTGTCTTGGAAACAGCACATAAATCTTGTAAAAAGTAAATTATCCAAATCCACAGCTGTACTATATAGAGTAAAGGATTTATTGAATGAGAAAGCTTTGTATTTGCTGTACAATACAATTATTATACCACATTTAATATACTGTGTTGATGTTTGGGGCATAGCATGCAAAACGACTACTAGGTCTATTTTAATCTTGCAGAAAAGAGCCTTAAGAATTATAACGAAAACTCATTACTATCATCCTACTAGTGTATTATTTTGTAAAATGAAGTTGCTGGGGTTTTATGATTTGGTGGAATATAATATTCTTTTGTTAATGTATAAAGCACGTCATTATACACTGCCCTCAAATATTCAAGTGCTTTTTGTAAAAAGAAAAAGTTGTTATAATCTAAAGGGCACTGATATTTTTGTTAAACCTAAATATAGAACTAGTTTAAAGGGTCGGTCAACGTTGATACATGGAATAGGACTATGGAATAGTTTGGAAACTGATGTTAAAACAGCTCAGTCAATGTCTGTATTCAAGAAAAAAATTAAGAGTATAATGTTGCAAAGATATATGTAATTTGGTTAATATAAAATGTTTTTAAAATCATTATATTACTATAAGTTGATTATTTGTTTCATGGTTGACTAATGCATGAATTGCATTGATTGTTTAGTTGTTGAAAAATTGTTTTCATGAATGACTATTGCTTTAATTGATTGTTTGTATTGATTTTTTGTCTAAGAAGGGGCAGTTATTATAAGATTTTTTCTTCTTCTGCTTCCTTTCATTTTAAATTTTCTTTTCTGTCTTTTTTTATCCATATGGATTGTAAATTGTTTTTTCCTGTGTTTTAATTTGAAATGAATAAAATAAATGAAATGAAATGAAATGAAATCCAAACTACATCACACGTCTATCTTGCATTTGTTTAATGGTCTAAAAATATACTTTTTTATATTTTAAGGTAAAGAGCATTTTCTTGTGCCCTTTTTCACACAAAGATGCACACACTAAACCTTTAAGCGCACACATATTGAATCAAACTGTAATCATGCATGAGGAAGACATTGCTTTACACAGTGGGTTGATTAATCAACATCTCAAAATGATTCAGTGATTATTTCCTATAAAAAATCTACCTATAGAAAGAAAAAAATGACCTTTTAAACAGACATTTGCATTTGTTTGTGGAAAAAGAGACTACATTAAAGTTTTTATCTGTTGTAGAAAATGTCTCATCATTTTTTTTTTATAAGCTTAGAATTTGAGATGACTTGTCTGACGATCCTTGAGCTGCAGCTGACTTGAGTGCTTGACAAAAAATATAAACATTTATATGTTTTTTTATACGGTATACTTGTTTTATAGGTAGCCAAAAGTGCTTTAGTTATATTTTTAATTAGACCACGCTTTGATTTGAATGAGTTATGTTATCGAGCCGTTTACATATATTTGTAATTTATCATTTTCAAAAGGAATATTTCCAGACAATATGAAAGTAGCAAAGATAGTTCCTCTCCTTAAAAATGGTGATAAATGTGTGTTCAATAATTATAGACCAATATCCTTATTACCACAGTTCTCAAAAATTCTAGAAAAACTATTTGTGACCAGATTAGATAAATTTATTACTAAACAAAACATTCTAAGTAGCAGTCAGTATGGGTTTAGAGCAAAAAACTCTACATCAATGGCTCTCATGGAAATAATAGAACAAATAACTACTGCTGTCGATCAACAACAGTATTGTGTTAGTATTTTTGTTGATTTAAAAAAAGCATTCGATACTGTTGACCACACTATTCTCCTTGAAAAATTAAATAAATATGGTATAAGAGGACCAGCATTACACTGGGTATCTAGCTATTTAAAAGATAGGAAACAGTTTGTACAAATAAATGGTGTAAGATCTGACCTGTGCAATATCACTTGTGGAGTTCCTCAAGGCTCTGTACTTGGACAAAAGTTATATATTTTATATGTGAATGACTTTGTGAATGTATCAGGACTCCTCAAATGTGTCCTTTTTGCAGATGACACCACATTTGCCTTTCATTTTAAATCTTTTGTATCTTTCTTTATATCGTTATGGAATTGTTTTGTACCTTTTTAAAATGAATAAACTTTATACCATACCATACCATTTAAAGTATGCATCACTGATTAATTTGTTACAGGCTCAGGAAACTTAACTCATTTAGACTTTCAAGACACGCCAACAGTTACTTCCTTGAAAAATATTAATGACTCACAATGAAAGTGAAGATTCAATGACTTTTTGCCCTATAAAGTTTTAGCTTTTTATTAGTTTTAGATTTAAGTTTTGGTTAATGTTGAGAAATATAGTTGATGGTTTAAAGATTAAAAAAAGGGTTTTAAATAGTATTCTTTCTTGATTTAATTTCTAAGTTGAGCATTCATTACAAAGCAGCAAACCATAAAGTTGACTTATTTCATTTTTGTCTGTTAGAAAAATGCATCAACTGATTGATTCATCTCTATACAGCTGGTGCCCTAATTCCTTTTTGGCAAAACAAACCAAACTCTTGCTGGGTCGTTATAGAAAAGCTGGCAGGGAAAAGCTGTCATTGATGGTTCATCAGCGTGACCAAAGGCCATCATGCCAATATCTTGCAATCTGCTAACCATCTGTAGCATGTATCCCATTAGAGTGATCCACTCTGCTCCTCACTGGGACCCTCTAATTAAACCTTTAATAAGAACAACCTCAATTTGTAGCGTCGAACTGATCAATAGATCAATCTTTCCTATCATCTTTCGCAGAGGAGACTCATACCTCTGACCTCTGCTGGACGCGGACTCCTCAAGCTTAACTAATGAGGTTGCCGTGCCAACACCCCTGATTAAGATGAAGTGTCAACATGTTGACCCAGTTCATTTACCCCGCCTTGCCTCTCCACTCCACATGGCACACAAATCAATTGGAAGTCTGAGACCTAATGCATCAGAGGAACAATGTACATATACCATAAATAAATGTGTATGAATAAACAAGATGGGCCACCCAGGCAAGCCGGTGTGTTCATTTATCAGCGGCTTTGCATTAATCAATAGTAATTCAGTGTATGCTGAACTGATAAGAACATCATCTCTAATCGGTTTTCATTACAGTGAGGAATGAGGTCAGCTTTTGTTTGATTTCTTGTTATGCTTGTCAGAATTTGTCACTTTTCCACACTTGCATGAAACCAATAATCAAAGACAAAGATGAACAAGGTTGTGCAAAGGAGAACAAGGTTGTGCAAAGGATGATGCAAGTTTAGCAAAGAGATTCAACAACAACAAAAAACACATTCCAACTCAGACCACCTACATCCAGCTAAGACAATATCATCTAATTGATAAATGCCAGGCTGAAACCACATCTGACCTTGATGTACGAGAGAGTGCAGGTCCAGGTCTTTCCTGCGTTTGAAAGGCTCTCCACATTCAGGACAAGGGAACGGGTGGCTGGTGTGCAGCAATCTGTTAAAACAGAAAACATTTTGAGCAATTAAATAAAAAAATTTAAAAAAACTGCTGTTCCTTATAGCCGTGGTTCACAAAGCAGGGATCAGGAAACACCAAGAGGGGGAGGTCTTGAGAAGATCTACAAAATCAAATTAACTTAAAAATAGGTTGCCAACAACATATTATTATGTTGTATTAGTATGCCTATTAATTGGGGGAAAATAATAAAAACTGTGGTAATAAATGCGTAAAAAGTATTTATTCATAATGTTTGATGAGGCTCTTTCCTAAATAGCTTAAATACCAATATAAGTAAACATCAGCAACGGTCAGGGTTCTGTAGCTAAGCCTGTCACGATAACAAATTTTGCTGGGCGATTGTCTCAGAAATTATTGTGATAAACGATAAAATTGTTTGAAATTTGACAATAATTAGTAATTATTAATTATTATCAATAATTAGTAATTATTGTTAAATTTAAGAAGAAATGTTGGTTATATTCTTTAAAGTGTAGTAGCATTTTTTGACCACTGGATGACAGTATAAGACCATTTGGACCGAAGGATGGATAGTGAGGGAGCGAGCAGCGTGTCTCTAAGAAAAATGGGAGGGAGGTTTCTTGACGTGACATGAGCCGTCTCTCGTTCCTTTTTTTCCGTTCTCAAAATGGCAGACACTTGGGGTGGTTTGAGCTCTTTAACATAGCATTTTTCACACAAAGCACAAGGCACAGGTTTCAAAAGTGAATTTTGGCGCTTCGACAAGACGGAGGTTTTTTTCCCCGAGGTCGGCCTGGTAACTTAGCTTGTAGCTTAGCTTCTCAGCTTAGCTGTGTTTTAACGATCCAAAAACGAGACTTTGTTCAGTTAAAATGGATTTTAAAGAGAAAAGAGAAAGGGAGGGGTCAGTAAGAGCACCTGAGTTGAGCCTTTTGTCATCCAGTGTCTTCAGGAGAAAGAGACAGACGTTAAGAAACGATAAAGCCGATAAATGAAAACGAGGTTGATAATTTTCATTTATCATGCGATTAACTGATTTATTGTTTATTGCGACAAACCTATCTGTAGCTTATATTTTGTGTGGCGAAACAGAAAAGTGTGCGAACCACTGGGACAGATGTTCAAAAGTTCAATTTTCAGTCTAGAAACAAAGACATTTCAGATAATCACAGCTCCCTGTATAAGAACTCAAATAGAACACGTCTAAATTAGAGACTAATAAACAGCTTTGAGAGAAGTCCTGTTTTGCTTTTTGCTGCCACTGTTCACTCGTGGGAGGATTACCAGCGAGTATGTTCTTTAACTGTGCTCCAGTTTGAGTGAGCAGTATTAGCAGAGTATAACAGCTAAAGATAAAAGAACAGCAGTAAATTGGGAGAAATCAGAGTTAGGACATGAAAGACTATATTTATCCACGGCATAACGTTATGCTCAGTACAGCCCTAGAGGAGGAAAGAAGTTTTCAGCTAATGCTGCATCAAGTCTATTTTCACTGTGTGGGAAAATAATGCAATATCAACAGTTGTACAATCAGAACAAACAGGCGATGTTTTAAATTTTAGGAAGGCTATCTTCCCATAAATATTATTTCCAAATTATAAATCACCCTGACTTATCTGAGTTTACTGAATATGCACTGAGCTGCACACTTATAAAGACAAATGCTAAAGGTGATGTGAAAGGCCCCTTCAAGGTGAGTGTAGGAAGCCAGATCGCTTCTGTTAAAAAGACTAAATAAATCAATATCAGGGAAGCTGACCCTGATCCAATATGGAGAGTTCAAATTCCAGACATCTCTCCTGCGTGTCAGACATTCTTTAATGAGGACGGACATTAAAGATATTCATCATCCTAAAATAAAAGAGACTAAGCAATTTGCTGTTCATGTTTCTAATTAATTAGGTAATTTACTTATTTTAACACAATCCTAATAAATGGATTCTAATAAACATGGAAAATAAGATAATCAAGAAAAAAAATCTACTACTGGGGTGTATTTTATCCCACAACACTGTTATTTTCACTTATAAATAAATAAAGCTAATTCTGTTCCACCTGTGAGCTTTAAACCCTGAAACGTTAGTGACTTTGTTGCACTGGGCCATCTAAGAAGCGCTGAGTGGAACAAGTTCGGCAAGAGGCAAGCAGAAAAAGAAGGAAAACAAAAACACGCTGGATGCAATTGAGTGAACTATCAGCCTGTTGATTTGTCTCGTTTCAACTAATTAGATCAATAGAGTAAAGTCATTTGATGAAGTCACGGTCCTGTCAAACTCAGTTGGGAGGAGAATGAAAAAGTGTCTTCAACTTCCTTCTAATTTAACTCTTTTGTGCTCGGTTGTCATTTTGCCACTATCCAGACCTGGACAATGTGTGAGGATGGTGGTGCAATACAATAATACTGAACTCTGTATACCTGTTGTTTTATTAAAACCCCTCATAGATATCCATAATCAGTCCATGCAGCAAATGAATGAAACCAACAAAAGTGATGTCAGATCAATATATGACAAGAACAAAGCTGCACAAATTAGTTAAGGAATAAATTCTTTGTTTAGCAAAATCTAAAACCTGATGAGGTTTTCATAGGACAGCATGCAGATGGATCGAAAATTTAAAGTTCTTCTCATTTGTCTCCAGGCTGTCGCGAGTCTCTGCTGTGTTCAGAAGTAAAAAACAACAAAAAAAAGCAGTTAAAGACCAAATTGCTTTGTTTATATACGTGAGATCACTTGTAGAACCTAGAACTGATTGATCAGAGGCAACATAATCTGTATCGAATGTGAAATCTTTATGAGGAATGTATGATGCATTTATTGTGTTATTATTAATATGTTATAAACTGTATGTAATTATATGTGCCCAGGCTCCCTCTATAAGCTTTAAATAGCTTTTCGGAGACTTGATTCACACACTGTTATCTTGCAGTTATGTATTATGTTTTACATAAATATATATAAATAAATAAAGCCCGATATAAATAAACTGAATAAATCGAAGTCAACATGAAGACAATCAAAACTAAAATCCAAATGAGTTCAGTAGTTTGAGAGGTACGATTTAATGTCTTGTTTATTTTTCTGACTCGCCAGGATTCTGGATTTAGAGACAGGACATTCCAGTGAATTATTAGATTTAGTGTTGATTTTCTTGCCACTGTTCAGTTAGGTAAAGCAAGACCAATCTTGTCCACCATTCTATAGGTTGTTATCATTATCATCTTAATTTACTGAACCTCTGAATGTCAATCATATACAGCTAATGCTCAAGGGCATCCAGACGTTGTGTGTTTGCTGCACAGCTATCTTGACTCTGCAGTCGAACACGGCTCGGCTCTTACCGCTCCTACTGAGATGAAAGTATCTAAATCCCATTCAAACTTTATTATGTTTCTATAATTCTAATGCATTTTGTGGTAAACAGAGCTGGAAAATGATTGAATACTGACAACTGCCTTAAATGTATACCATCCACTCCACTAAACAGCTGCAAAACACCTGGCGATAAATATAACAATGTCTGCAGAGAGTTATTACTTGTGGTGGTTAAGCTGATCCTCAGTGTTGAATCGTGAAGGACAACTCGGACAAGAGAAGAGATGAGAATTTCCTTCGTTGTCCAAAGAACACGTCTGCATTAAGAGACACAGAAGTCAAAATTAATTAAATAAAATCAAGCTGTTCAAAACTACTCTTTCAACAAACATTAAATGTGGTTTTTATTACAAGATATTTAAAAAAATGAAAAATCTGAAGACAAAAATTGCAGACAATATACGTAACTAAACCTCTAAAAGTCCTATGAAAAATCTGTAACATTTAAGAACTAAGCTCGTAAATATAGAGGGTTAGAGTCTGTACCGGTTTGCGTCCTCGCCTGCGTGGCGGCTCCATTGACGTGTGAATTTGTTGGTGTCTTTTCAAAGTGGCTGCCTGGGCGAATTCTTTCCCACAAACATCACAGCAGAAGGGCTTGTTGCCCGTGTGGTTCATGTTGTGTCGCAGCAGGCTCTGGGAGTTGGTGAACGACTTTGAGCACACCTACACAACAACAAATGGGATTAGTGCCACAGCTATAATTACAGCACTTTTTATTGCTACTTACAAAAAAAAGTTACATTTGGTGCACTGTAAAAAAAAAAAAAATTGGCAATTTATAGATTCTGTTGATTTTTTTTAAACAAGCTGTACAATTTTTGCACAAAACCAACATTAAGGAGCATTTAATTTTTATACACTTTTCGCCTTCTTTCAGTGAAAATGATCCTCCTGTTGTGGAAAAACACGAGTCTCTGCTGTTCAACATAATTTAAAATTTGTCCTTGGATGTCACAGTCTTGCACGCTGCATGTGTACACTTATTTTAATTTTTAAAACATTTGTCTATTGTTCAAAAGACACCAGGGAACCTGTCAAATATAATGAGCTTGGAGGATCAAATTGTGTCAGCCTTCACCGACAAGTATTACATCACCTTATCAAAGTCAGCCGCACAACATAAATGATCTTTACATCAAAGCAAATCATCCTTCAAATTCAGGAAAGGACACTTTGATTAAATTTCTGACTGGCACCTTGCATGTAAAGAGCTTCTCTCCGGTGTGGCTGTAGACGTGTGCGCGGAGGAAGACACGTCGGGTGAAGGTTTGGCCACAGTAAGGGCAGACGTGGGGAAGTGGCGTTCGAGCCCAATCATGTAGCAGCTTGGCAGGTGGAGGATGATTCATGTTGTTCGAGTCGGCTGAACTGCTGCCCTCTAATTCATCTCTAGTGTCTGAATTAATGTTTCCTGACCAAACAGAAACAATGTCAAAACCCTCTACAAATTGCAATGTTAAGAATGAATTTTCTCTTACCTTCTAGTGCATTAGCACTTAAAATCCTGAAAAAAGGCCTGCCTCTCTTAGGAAGGGGAAAACCAGAATCACCAGAGGAGGGAGACAACAGTCTCTTTGCAGTTTGTATGGTATCACGGTTAGCGGTGGTAGTTTCATCAAAGGCCTCGGTTTCCTGTACAGTTGGTGTAATGCACTGCAGATGCCGATGATACAGATACTGAGTGGTGTTCATGAAGCTCTTCCCACAGTGGGAGCAACTGTGCAGTGGTTCACTGAGGCCGTGCTTTTCCTTACGATGATGGCTCAGCCCTTCACCGTCACCAAAACTCTGCCCACAGTGGGTGCAGAAATACAACTCCGGTTGGTTAAATGTGGAGGACACAGTGCTGGAGGATGAACGAGCATTTCTGGTGCTGTTCTGGGTATAAACTTGGGGAACTTTTTCCACAGTTTCCTCGCCCTTCTGCCGGTGTTGTTTGCGATGGTACAGGAAAAGTGTGGTGTTCAAAAAACTTTCTCCACACATGGAGCAGTGGTGCAGCGCTTCCCCAAAGCCGTGCTGAGTCTTGCGGTGGGCTACGAGTTCAGAAACCAGGCCGAAACACGAGCCGCAGTCAACGCACAGCAGCACTGGTTCAGGTTTAGGCTTTTTGTTTACTCCTCTCCTTCTTGGAGATGAGTCATCTAAATTAGAAGTTGTAGCATCAGTCTCAGCAACAGGAGCTTCTGGGCTCTGAGGCGAAGACGGCTGTGCAGCCTGCTTCTCTGTAGGGTGCGGAGTCTCATCCATTGGTTCAGGATTGATGCTACTTTCACTCTGTGAGAGAGACGACTCATCTGGATTTAAAGGTGCTGCTGGGCTCTCAGCTAAGGTCTCGGACTCATCATGTGACTCTGGAGTTGGCTTGCTTGGTAAAACTTCCTGCTGACATACCCCCTCCTTACGATGATGCTGCCATAAGTCAAGGCTCTTGAAAAGTTCATCACAATCCCCACACTGGTAGAGGATCCTGGGATGATCTTGTTCCCTCTCTTGTGAATCTTCAACTTGCCCCAGAGAAGACTGTCCCATATGCACCTCAATCTGTGCGACTGCATTCTGGGAGACTGAAATTTGTGGGACTGCAACTGTCCTGGCTATATTTATTATATGCTGCTGTAAAAAGACAGAGAAAAACATTTTTAATACTTTAATTGCCACTTTTTATTATGTTCAAATAAAATGAATCCTTTGCTACTCCCATCAATTATTCATTTCTAGTAAATTCCACCTGTGGTTTGTCTTTAATTTTATTATTTGCAGCGGATGAGGGATGAAAGTTCAATGTTGGGGAATAGAGGTCATTTTAAGCAGCAAGTGTTAAGAGCCAAGGTTCCTCCTGATAACGATCAAAAGGTCCATTGTGGTTGACTGGACCACTCCACAGGGTTTTACATTTGCTCCATCCATTCATGTGGATGATAAAAAAAAAACATCAAGGTCAGGGTTGAAGGAATCTGGAGCTACTTCAATCACTTCAGCTCAACACGATTCATACACAGTAATGATTTGTGGGCTGTTGTGGTATTCTAGTGTGAGTAATAAAGACCACCTTCAGATGTGGTCTGCCTGCTTCAATAGTCTCCTGATTGCAATTATAGCTTACATTAACATGCCTTTTTCTCTTAAAAAGATATGGATTGCATGTACAAATAAAACACTAGTTGCCCCAGTTATTACTGATTCATATGCAACAGTTCACGTAATAGTATTTTCTCTCAAACTTGGCAGGCCAGACGCACCAAGAAATATCCCCTTATGAAGAAACTGAAAATATTTTCCCATTAAGGAGCCATTTGTGCTGCTCAGTTCCATGGAGATATCGTTCTGTCGTTGCCTGGGAAACTTGCAAAAATAATGTGAATACAGCCACCATTAGGATCCTTTATTGCAGCAAAGCAAGTAATTAAAGAGGAAGCCAAGCGAACAAAAATGAAAAAGCAAATGTGAATTTGCACATTGCCTGCAGTGCATTCTGACAGCACTCATATACTCAAATGTGCACATCATTCTTTGTTTTTAAGTGCCAATCGTTGTGTCAAAAATCAAGGTAAAGCTATATATGAAAGAAAAAACTGAAAGCACAGTTTCCAGTCTTTTACTTACTTTTACAGATAAACCAAATGTGATAGATTTGCTAAGAATTACTGAACTAAAAGTATTTCTAAAATATATAATACTTCGCTTCTCCTACTTAGCTATATTCAACCCCATCACAAACAGAACTTTATAATCATCTCGAACTAATTAACTTTCAGAATCACCCCCATTAAAGATGGCCACCACTGTAAAGCAACCTTGGCAAACACACAACTAACTTTGGTGTTGTAGTAACTAACACATTCTCTAAGGACCATCACATATTGTAAAATCTTACAAGCGATCTTTCACAATATCATTTACGAGATTTTACCAAAATGGCTACCACTCCCCACGTAAGATGATTAGTTTAAAATTCTGGCATGGAAGGTGGTGGATAGTATGCATTCCTTCAAGCAATACTAGGCTTAACATTTTTATTGTTAGAAGGTGCTGAAGTCTGCAGCAGGTATGTCATACTCAGGAACAACCTCATATGATACATCTTTTACATTCACATTCCAAAACTTACATTTTTGTTCTACTTGTGGAATCCACTCTGAGAAGGTGCTATTTATAAGACTGAGCTGAATACAGCACCTCAGACCAGACTGAGGAAGTCTTTCGGATGAAAGACGAAATGTTTCTACATATTTTTTTTTTGTTGTTTTGCTTTGTTTGGTTTTTTTGAATATCCAGAGGACCAGATTTAACTTTTTTAGATTTTTCTACCTGGATTATTGAGCATGCATCAGGACACTGGTAGAATGTTTTTCACACTGAATCTACTTACTGCTGAGATGCTCGTATGCTCTGAAAAAAAAAAACAATTCTGCACCAAAAAAAATATATTTTTTAAAAGAAAGCCAATTCTAATCTGTTTAATGAACACTTCTGAGGAGACATCACCCCAACGTCCCCAGCAGAAGCAAAGTAACGATTTGAGAAATCAACAGTTTTACATCAACTACACATTAGGGGAAGAGAAATTATGACAACTAGTGCAGTTTGAACATATGCAATAAACCCACTATGCTGAGCGTGTGCCAAGAAGCCATAAGGTATGCAGGGTTTTATAGAGTTTCTTCAGCTGATTCATCTATGAGAAGGCCAATGAGCGATCCGTCAGGAAAAAGTGTGGCACTGACTGAAGCACTTCTCATGCCCTTCTTCCCTCTGGCGACTCTAGATGCAATCTGTCTGTCATGAGTGTCACTGTGTTTTATAGACGCACATTTAAGACTGTAAAGGATGGAAGTCCGGGCACGAGCTCCGTTAGCCGCACTCTGCTGCTGAGGCCCAATGACTGCTTTTAACCCAGAGGGCTTTATGAAGATGTCATGGGAAAGGCAAAGAAATAAAGTGCTGACAACTCAAAACTTGGCTCAATACAGTATTTTCAGTCAAACTAGAAAATTTTACTCTAAAATGTTGTAATAAGTGAGAAAAGCAATAGATTAAAAAGAAAAAACACACTACGGAGAAGAGCAGACAACGATCCAGAAAAAACAAATTATATAAAAATCTACACAACTTTCAACTGCAAATGCACTCTGTAAATGAACAAAGCAGAAGAAACCGAATCAGAAAACTAAATAAAGATGCAAGGCCCCACATAAGCCAAAGAATAAGATCCTACCAAAATTACAAAGCAACAGACTGTTCATTATAAGTGAAGCATGGGAAACAATCTGGTGATTCATCTGACTTCACTGGATATCATGTAAATGTGACACTGCAGACCTCAATCTGGCCTGCATCTTCTATCATGTCTTCCTCCTCCTCCCTAATCCCTATTGCCTTTTCTCTGGGATTTGCATAACCCCCCAAAAAAACACCAACTTAACACTGTGTTCCATTCTATATTTTATATTCAATATTTCCATATTAAACAGACCTCTAGGCTTCCACTTAAGTCTCAAAAGTAAATTTTCTCATCCTCTTCACACAACAGAGGAGCACATTTACTTAGAAAGCTGCCGTCTCTGAGCTGCTCCTCTGAGATACTCAAAAAATCTATTATAGTTGGGGCCATCAGGCTACGTGACTCCTCTGGTGGTAGGGTTGGGCAATGAAGGGAAGACAGCCCGGTAGGCACCTGAGTGAGAGCAGTCAAAAAATTACTGTTTTTAATTCAACGTTTCTTTTGTTTTTAGTAAATGAACATCTTACTACAGTTCATCTACTCACTCACACTTATACTTGCAATTATTGAGCTTTTATAGTGAAATAACTAACTTGATAATTCTGCAACTACTACTTTTTAATAATTCTTGTTTTGAAGTCGTGTTATCAAGTTTTTACTACATCCTTGCATTTTGGTTCTTTATACAGTATTTATTATCAATCATCTTTTATTGTATCTCAATTGTTTTCTTAACATCGAATTGTGATTTGAAGCAGCTGGCAACGTTGGAATTTACTTCGGGATAATAAAGTCTTGTCTTATCTAATCTGTTATTAAAAACAAGATTTATTTGAAACATGGATTCCAAAATATTAAGACTATAATCACTCCTCTCCCAGCGCTGCCGGGTGTTACATCAACCCATTACTCTGATAAACAATGTGATAAACGTAATAAACAATCTGTCATTACGGAGGAGACAGCAGCATCATGGAAACTTTTACTAATTATTTGCTGTCAATAATACACAACGTATGTTAAATGTAAGGGGTGCAGAATAAAAGCCCAAGACAAATAAAGTTAATTAACAAATTGTTTCTGTAATATCTTTACTACAAATTATCCCTACATGCACATGTGCTGGTGTAAACATAAATGAGAAAATATAAAAAGTACTAATGAACTATGTCAGGTAATTTGAAATTATTCTGTAGAAATACTCTGAAGATATAGATTTGTGTTTGTCCCACTAACGCACTGAGAACATACTGGTACATGTGACTAGATCAATCAAGGAAGATCTAAACAGACTTAAATTGATTATCACGTTATTTTAGGTACTGGCTTTTTATTACATAACTGTGCAGAAGCTGAAAACGCATTGGAAACGCCATGGCGTGCTACTTTATTGGAAGTGAGCCAACTGGCATGCTTAAAACATACAGTATAGGACACAAAGCTGTGGTGTGCTGTAACAACGCGGATCATCATTTAACCTTTAGAGTCTCAACTGAATTACAGACAACAAATTATTCTTTCATTTTAACACTGATGTTAAAGTTTAGGATGTCTGTTTGTTGTCGTGATATTTAAATGCCGTCTTCCAATGGGGTTCATTTAAAAATATATATTTTTATCTCAGCAGTTTTCGCCTTGTCAAATGAAGGGATAAACAACGTGTCATATCAGGAGAAAAATTGTACAATAAAAACAAACTCATAATTGCCGTGTATTACCATCAAATTTTCTTCCCCGGTAATCATTATCACAGCCTCTTCTAAAAATTGCCACTTGTTACTTTGTGATTAAAAGTATGATGTCAAAGTACATCTAAATAAGACATTAATGTGCAGCGACATTTTGAAACAAGCCTGTAAATAATTACAAACAACAATTCAGTGCTAAGTGCTTAAGTAATCAACTTATCAAGGTCGTTGTTGATATTATTACAACTCGCAAAGCACTAGCAAAGCACTGTTAATCTATGACTAAAGATGTACTTGTCAACTCAATGTCTGTCATTCACTGCATATTATTCAGAGGCTTTAACATGATCGCATAACGGCACACAGCAACAATTCAAGCTTTGTTCTTCTGTTGACAAACTGAAATCCAGCAGTAATACAGTATAGATAGGATACTGTTAAATTACCTGAGTCTGCTCCACTGGAACGGCAACAGTGGTGCTTCCAGATGAGCCAGATTGCTCCTCTTCGGCACAGCAAGTCAACTGGTGCTTAAGGACTTCTTCAAGAGTGTTAAACTCCTGGTAGCAGGGAAAGCACATATACACCGACGAACTCTCCATGGCTGCTGGGGGAAAATAAACCACAAATATTTCATAAGAAATATAATAACGCTAAATAAAAATTCACAAAAATTATGTAGGTTTTTAAATATGCTTGCAACAAGTTGATTGCAACACCGGATTAATTTAGGCTGTGAATATTGCCCTCTCCTGATGAAAAGAAGTGTGTGAAAAATAGATCACTTGTAAATGAGTCTTCAAGGCTCAATGTGATTTATCTGTATAAATAAAGGCTGAATAGACAGATAGATTTATGTCAGTAATTTGTTTTGTGTGTATGTTATTTTAAAAAATGTGTACAATAACAACAACAATAATTAAAAAATAAGCAACAAACACTTATACCTTTAGAAGCCAAATATAAAATAAGATTCTTAAAAGAAATTAAGTAGGATAGTTGTTGGAGAACTCTTTGAAATGTAGCTTTGGTGACTTTAACAAAAATTACCCCGTCTCTCGCACAGTGATGGCTGGACATGAGCACCAGTGACCCCCGTGACTGCACCTCCCCCCCCCCCCCCCCCCCCAAAAGCCAAATTTTTAGATTTTTAGACATGGTGTCAAATGACCACTTCATTTGAGGTATTAGCATCTTCTTTTCCATTTATTTTGAATATATATTGTTGAATTTAATTTCATCAAATTGCACATAACGCATTTGACTAATAGAAGATCTTAGATATAAGAAAAGTGTGCCATTGAATAAGCAAGGCGTGCAAAATTTAAGACCACATTAAAAAAGAAACAAGACTGTGACAAGTGTTAATTTCATTTAGCAAAACATTTTGTTTAATGATCAGGGATGGATGGCATGGTTTTAATGAAGCATTAATGTAATATTCTTAACAGGCTCAAAAATCATGTCACCAAGTATACAGGTCCTTCTCAAAAAATTAGCATATTGTGATAAAGGTCATTATTTTCCATAAAGGAATGATAAAAATGAAACTTTCATATATTTCAGATTCATTGCACACCAACTGAAATATTTCAGGTCTTTAATTGTTTTAATACTGATGCTTATGGCATACAGCTCATGAAAACCCAAAATGCCTGTCCCAAAAAATTAGCATATCATGAAAAGTTTCTCTAAACAAGCTAATAACCTAACCATCTGAATCAACGATGTAACTCTAAACACCTGCAAAAGATTCCTGAGGCTTTTAAAATCTCCCAGCCTTGTTCATTACTCAAAACCGCAATCATGGGTAAGACTGCCGACCTGACTGCTGTCCAGAAGGCCATCATTGACACCCTCAAGCAAGAGGGTAAGACACAGAAAGAAATTGCTGAACGAATAGGCTGTTCCCAGAGTGCTGTATCAAGGCACCTCAGTGGGAAGTCTGTGGGAAGGGAAAAGTGTGGCAGAAAACGCTGCACAACGAGAAGAGGTGACCGGACCCTGAGGAGGATTGTGGAGAAGGGCCGATTCCAGACCTTGGGGGACCTGCGGAAGCAGTGGACTGAGTCTGGTGTAGAAACATCCAGAGCCACCGTGCACAGGCGTGTGCAGGAAATGGGCTACAGGTGCCGCATTCCCCAGGTCAAGCCACTTTTGAACAAGAAACAGCAGCAGAAGCGCCTGACCTGGGCTACAGAGAAGCAGCACTGGACTGTTGTTCAGTGGTCCAAAGTACTATTTTTCGGATGAAAGCAAATTTTGCATGTCATTCGGAAATCAAGGTGCCAGAGTCTGGAGGAAGACTGGGGAGAAGGAAATGCCAAAATGCCAGAAGTCCAGTGTGAAGCACCCACAGTCAGTGATGGTCTGGGGTGCCATGTCAGCTGCTGGTGTTGGTCCACTGTGTTTTATCAAGGGCAGGGTCAATGCAGCTAGCTATCAGGAGATTTTGGAGCACTTCATGCTTCCATCTGCTGAAAAGCTTTATGGAGATGAAGATTTCATTTTTCAGCACGACCTGGCACCTGCTCACAGTGCCAAAACCACTGGTAAATGGTTTACTGACCATGGTATTACTGTGCTCAATTGGCCTGCCAACTCTCCTGACCTGAACCCCATAGAGAACCTGTGGGATATTGTGAAGAGAAAGTTGAGAGACACAAGACCCAACACTCTGGATGAGCTTAAGGCCGCTATCGAAGCATCCTGGGCCTCCATAACACCTCAGCAGTGCCACAGGCTGATTGCCTCCATGCCACGCCACATTGAAGCAGTCATTCGTGCAAAAGGATTCCCGACCAAGTATTGAGTGCATAACTGAACATGATTATTTGAAGGTTGGCGTTTTTTGTATTAAAAACACTTGTCTTTCATTGGTGGGATGAAATATGTTAATTTTTGGGACAGGCATTTGGGGTTTTCATGAGCTGTATGCCATAATCATCAGTATTAAAACAATTAAAGACCTGAAATATTTCAGTTGGTGTGCAATGAATCTGAAATATATGAAAGTTTCATTGTTATCATTACATTATGGAAAATAATGACCTTTATCACAATATGCTAATTTTTTGAGAAGGACCTGTACTTTTATACTAGTATACTTTTATACTATACGAGTATACTGTTTATACCAAGTATAAACAGGTCTCTCTTGTAAATGAGTCCTCGAGGCTCAATGAGACTAACTTGTATAAAGGTTGAATGAAAAAAATACAGTACTGTGGTGATTACTAATTTGTTTACCTAAGTTTCTAAAATGACAAAATAACGAGAAATATGTATTTATATCTTTACTACTCAGGCAGGGCTTGTAAAATGATGAATGTATTGCTGTTTTACGATATGTGAATAAAATACAAATGAAATTAAACAGCTGTTGTTCTACATAAAAACTTAATTTTAATTTAGCAATTAAGAGTCAGGTATGGATGAAGCTTTCATCTATTTACAATTTAACCATTATGCAACACGCTACATTTTCAACAAAGTAGACGTTTAAGTTTCTAAACTAAAATGAATGTGATTTACAGTACTCGTCTTTGAGCTAACGTTAGCTAACAATGACTGCAGGGGACCGCGGGGCAGAAATTTCAGCTGTCGCAATGAGAAAACAAAATACGATTATTCCATACATGTACAGGAAAAGTCAACGTGTGACTGTTTTGCTGGGCGTCTGATCGAAGAGAGTCGACAAGGAGGACCGTAAACGTAGCCATGTCGAGGCTACGTTTATCTCTGAGCTATGTATTGTGTTGCTAACATAGCATCACCATAGCCATCTTTTTAAAATGGCTAACGTCGTCCCCTGCATGGCAGCCAGCTTCTGTGTTAGCACAAAGATCAATAAACCAAGTTACGACTTGATCTGTTAATTGTGGGCACCCTGGTTGTGTTAGCTGGCGACTTAACTCGTTTTACCACTTGGACCAGTGGTGCTTTACTTTCTGAAACCAAGGAGAAGAAGAAGAAAAGGCTCGAGAAGGAGGGCGGGAGGCTCTTCTTCGGTGGTATAATGGCGGCGGCAGACCAAAAGTTAACATTAGCTGTCTCCCCCCGTCGAAATCCGCCATAGAAAAAAAATACAACGTAATATTTCACAACAATAACATCAGAGGTGCCAAATAATAAAATGTATTTTGAAAAAACTCACCGCGTTCATACGTTGCTAGCCGAGGAGGAAATAGGCCAACTTCTGTTTCTTCTGCATGTCAGAAGGCTCATTCTGATTGGCTGTAACCGTCACTTGGTAGACCAATAGAGTGCGACTTGTCAAAATACGGAAGTTGTAGTTCAAAAGAGCAGCATTAGCAGTGTCAGTGTGGGTGTAGAGTGAATGGCAGATACAAATTAAATTGGATTATCTAAATTTCAAGTAATTGTATTTTATTCTTACGATTCATGGGCTCATTAAGTCAGAAATTGACTTTACTTTACCTGAAAAATGTAATTGGCACATGAAAAGTTGCATATGCACAAAAAGACAAGCAATAAAACTCCAAAATAAGATGGTGCATAGAAAGAGCCTCTATATATATGTATATATATATATATATATATACGTACATACAGGTATATATACTTTTCTTTTTAATCCACAGAGATTTACAAAATGTGACAAAAAATCATTGCAAGTAAAGATAATGGATGGATGGATGGATGGATGGATGGATGGATGGATGAAGAGTGTCATTTTCGCCAAAAGTCCATCTGCCAAGTTTCATGAAATTTCTTATGCAGTTCTTAGAACTGGCTCTTTTTTCTTCATTCCAGTGTATTTGCTGCATGTTAGAAGTTAACAGAATGTGTGCAAATACGAAGATGGAACTTGATGTTTTTTCATGCACAGCCTGTAAAAAGCATGCAGCTCTCTTGATGTAAATACTAGCTAAGTTTAGTGCAGCCTGGGCAATTTTTTAACTTTTTTTTAACCTTAAAAAAAACTTTCTCAGGATTGAACTTTGCTTGAAGAAGTCCTTTAAGTTCTACCCCTCAGTATTAACAACAGGTCTTCTGCATCACGTATTATAAATACAAATCAGAGGAAGTACTCGCTGGTCCATTAATGTCCCTAAACAGCACTTCTGTTTGTCCCACTGGCTGACTGAAAAGACAAGCCGCTCCTTCAGATTGTTTAACCCCGACTCTGGATGATTTTACAGAACCAGCTGGGCATTCAGCCAGAGAGGCCACTCAGGCTCCACAAAAACTGTCCAACCTGTGCTGCACTCTGCAGAATAACATTATTCAACCCTGACATATCACATCAGCCTGATGACAGACGAGCAGGCATGCTTTCAATGAAGGTTCTGGTTCAGAGACTACAGGTCCCTGGAGAAACGGGACATGTTGTCAGATGGCATTGATTGCTCCACATATGCATCTGCATGTTCTCTAGTTATTTTGTCAACATTTTTATTTTTTATCTCTGACAGCTTTGAACTTACTATTAAAATTTCTGGCATGCATCATTCCCCATTAATATTCTGCTTTAAACTTACCACAAAATTTAAATCAAGTTTCCCCATCCTGTTAAGAAAAAACATTTAATTTACAACAAAAATCACCCTTAATTCTGCTTTAGTCAGAATAAAGTATTTGTTTTTGGTTTGTCTTTCAAAAGGAGAAATATGTTTTGTATTTATCTTAAATTATTTTACGTATGACATACTTTGCTAACATACAACAAACACACCTACATGCAAACATGGATAAAAAATGTTTTTGGAAATGATAATAAAAATGACAAACCTTTTATTAAATAATCCTATTAAGGAAAAAATAATTTTTCTTGTCATATAGATAGTTTTATTTAGTTGATTTTTTTCTTAAACATTTGATGTGATTTTCTGTGGGGTGCTGTTTGTAAAGTTACACAGTCAAAAATTGACAGCAATATTTTGGTTTATTTGGCCTTTCATAGAAAAAAAAGTTTTTTTTTTTTTTCAAAGTCATATTTTCATGTTATTCATACATTTATAAATGTCATAGTTCCAAACTAAATATTTAATTTACTAGCTAAATATTTCGTTTACTTACTAAATACTTAACTTGCAAGTTAAATATTTAGTTAGTGAACTACATATTTAGGTGTAAATTAAATATTTAATTTCCAAGCTAAATATTTATTTTCAGAACTAAAAACTTTTAATTTCCAAACTAAGTATTTAGGTCTGAACTAAATATATAGCTAGCAAATTAAATATTTATTTTGGAAATTAAATGTTTAGCTTGGAAAATAAATATTTAGGTCCAAGCTAAATATTTAGTTGGCAAATTAAATATTTAGTTTAGGAATTAAATGTTTAGCTTAGAAATTAAATGTTTAGTTTGGAAATTAAATATTTAGCTTGGACCAAAAAAATTTAGTTTGGACATTAAATGTTTAGTTTTGAAAATAAATAGCTTGGAAATGAACTATTTAATTTATACCTAAATATTTAGTTTACTAACTAATAATTTTAGACAATAAAATTATTTAGTTTACTAACTAAATATTTAACTTGCAAGTATTTAATTTGTAAATTAAATATTTAGTTTGGAACTTTGGCATTTATAAATGTATCAATAACATGGTGAAAACATGACTGAAAAAAAATTTTTTTTCTTATGAAACCAAAATATTGCTGTTAATTTTGACTGTGTAACTTTACAAATGTTACCCCATAATTTTCTCCTTTAAACTCTTAGATTGCTTTATTAGAAAATTAAAGTGAACAACAACACCTGCCTTTGTACACTGTTTGCTTCAGAAAACTGAAGGCTTCTCTTGAAAACCTGATTCCATGCAAGAAATTCTTGACCTCGCCATTTCTTGACCTCGCCAAGAAGGACTTGGCTCAGAACTGGGTCAGGACAAGAACAAAGTATTAATTTATCTGAGCTGAACTTCCGGGCAGACCTTGGCTACTTATTCGTGCCCAGGGCAGCAAAAGTTCTGACAGAATCTATAAATAATTCCTCCTGAGCTCGGAAAGGGACAGAGGGCAAAAGTTTAGGGACACCCTGAGACTTCATTAAATCCTGCTCTTCTTTTACAGCAGATTGCTCGCTGAATAAGAAATGTTAAGTCCGGAGTGTGAGACAAACTTAAAATAAATTAACTTTGTCAGACGTGTGTTGACACGGTGCAGAATGAGTCCCGATCCATGTCATAAGGACTACAAGTGTCACAAAAGAGATTTTTACTAAAAAAGGACCAAAAGGCCACAGAAACACTCACGTCCTGTATAATTCAGCTGTGAAACAGTAATATTTCATTAAGACATTCTCATATATTCACAGATGGTTTCCATGACAACTCAGTTTTATTACATCATTATCCAGCTGATCCCTCGCAGAGTTCAATGATCCAACTGACTCTGCTGCCGAGCCCAGTGAGGGCTGATTTTCATTAATCCTTTCATTAAAGGGGTTTCACACCGTCTTGTTCAGGCAGCTTTAAAACATCCCTTGTGCATGATAGATAGCTCAACACCCAAACTCTTTTGACACAGTTCATCCCAATATTCTCCAACCTTGTGATGTCCAACAGGTGAAAACTGTACCAACACCAAGGAAGTATTTCATCAGTTTTACATTTGTATAGACACCAAACCTGCAATAGTTACACAAAATAGCTTTAAGTACCAGAAACAGGTCTTATAAATGAACCCAGGAAACAAGTTCTTAGAATAAAGTGGAATGTTGTACAAAATGTAGAAAATGGCTTGTAAATCCCATAAACCCTCATTTTATTCACAACACAGTAAATCTACCAAATGTTTAAACTAAAAAATATATGTTTGTAATAAAAGTCCATTTTGTATTTAATGGCAGCTACTTACCTCTAAAAACAGGACAGAGACAACAAAAAGCTGTTTAATTGGTGTAAATAATTACAGGTCCATTAATTTTGAATTTTTTTCTTAAAACCCATCTCTTCTCCTTGGCTTTTGACACTGAAGATGATTATTTTTAGTTTACTTTAATTGATTTTATGCATTTTTGTTTTTAGTACAAGTGTTATGATTTGCTCTTAAATGTTTTTATTATGTACTGTGACTGCTGTTGGGTTTTATTGACTTAACTGTCTTAACTTATTGACTTAACTGTACAGCACATTGGTCCTAAGGTTGTTTAAAGTACTTTATAAATTAAGCTGGTATGGTGTTAAGAAGACTGTGTATAAAAAGAGCATTTAATTGAGGCTGAATCTTTCAGAAGATGGACAGAGGATCAACAGTTTGTGAAATATTGTCTAAAATTATTGGTAGTTTTAGGAGTTCAATGGAAAATGAGGACTACTTTGAATGTCCCTTCATTTAGTTCATGATGTCATCTTTTTTTAATAAAAAAAAACAATCTGAAGAAAACTCTGCTCAAAGGACAAGGCTAAAATATTTGATGCCCGTTATATTCAACATTAAAACAGGTCTAATTCTCTTCTGGACATCACAGATCAGGAACACTTGCACAAATCACTGTAAACACAGTTCCACAAATGCTGGATGAAGCTCTATCATGCATGCAGTACAGACCGCTCACTAATCAAAGCACATTTGGTACGTCATAGCCCTACAGAACCTCACTGACCTACACAAGGTGAGGTCAGTGAACAAGGACAGGCAGATTCTGGCAGATCCTGATCACCCACACCATGGGGAGTTCAGGTTTCTTCCACCTGGACGGAGGTATCTGCAGCCTAGATGTAGATCGAAAAGACTGAAAATCTCATTCATCCCTGTAGCAGTTAGGCTTAATTCTCAACAATGATTTCATGTATTATTTGAATATCTTCATGTCTTGTCTAGTATAGATGTTTTGAGACTATACTGTGAAACAAATTGCCCCTTGGGGATTTTATTATTTATTATTAGACCTTTATTTATACAGGTTAGTTCCCATTGAGCCTAAAGACTCATTTACAAGAGAGACCTGTTAATGGGCTAATGAAAGTTTCTTGAACTTGAACTAAGTCCAGCAAAGACCCAGGACTGCTGAACAGCTAGAATTCTACTGCACAGCTGGTCTCAGTCCCTGGAGTTTTAGACGTAGGATTCATGGTGCAACCTTGTTCCAACTTTTTATGTTAACAAATTCAAAATTATGCAACCCCCCCCCCCCCCCCCCCAAAAAAACAAAACAAAACAAAAACCCTACATTTGATATGTTCATGACTTATATGTTCCACTGTGATCACAATACAGATTTATGAGAAATGCAAACCAGTGCATAGTTTTTATTTTACATTTTACACGAAGTCTGAAGCTTTTTGGAATCAACGCTAATATCTGCAGCTACCAGAACCATGGCTTAGATACAGACACAAGTTCTTGTGAATATGAGACAGAGACAGTTTCATCACTTTATTAATGAGTTTAATTATTTATACCAACAAACAAAAACAGTCTCTCTCTCCCTCTCTCCCTTAATCCCTCCCCCTCTTTGTCTCCCTTATCAAACTGTTCTGTTCCCAATAATGACATTTTCCCCTCTACAAGGGTGAAGAAAAGGTTACTGCGAATTTAAAAAAAAGTGCCTTGGATCAAAAGATGGACAAAGAAAATAAAAAAATAAAATAAGTGAGCTGTGTGTGGGAGAATGTTCATGATCAGCCAGCACGCACACAAACATACATTCCCTGTGCTGAAAACTTGCTGCCTGCGATGAACGTGCACGCACACACGCACGCAGTACCGTACTGTATTCTCAAACCTTCACATTCAGACGCAGTTGCAAAAACAACAAAGGAGATGATACATTTTATCAGGATGGAATTTTTTTTTCTCTTCCACGTCTACACACACACACACACACACACACACACACACACACACACACACACGCGCACACGCACGTAATCCGGTGTCAACATCAGGCGCCTCCTCCTCCCAAAAAAATAAAAATACAACAACTCCACATATCCAGAGGCTTGTAACATTCCCTTCACATTGAAGTTTAATGAACAACTGGAGCTCCACTAGTTGGCGAGTGTGTGCACCTGCAGACATACAAAACCAGTGCTTGGGAAAACACACCAACATCTGGATTTGAGTACAGTATCTTGGATGTGAAACAGTTGAGCTAAAATTTACATGTGATAAAAACAAAACAAACAAAAAAAAGGTGAAAAAGACCCCCTCCCCCTAAAAACACCATACAATAAATAAATCATGACAACATTAATGGGGGACAAGGAAGAGTTTTGATGAGAGGAATGAAGGGAGAGAGAATAAAAATGAAACATTTTGTTCTGTTTTTTTTTGTTTTTTCCCTCCTGAACAAGGGAAAAAAATGAAATCGTATTTACAGACCGCGACTGAGGATAAACGGTCCGGCTTGCTGCTGGGCCGGTCTACTACAGAAAAAAAAAAAAAAAATTACAAGAACAGCAATATAATAACAATAATAACAAAATAAAAGGTACTTGATATTTACAGGTTAGCGGTGAAAAAAAAAATGGGGTGGCAGGGCAGCAGAGGGGGGTAAAGATGAGGAAGAATGGAAGGGGAGGCTCCAAACGCTGTTGGGTGTCGGGGGTCTGAGCATAATGTCTGGTCAGATTATTTGTTGGGTTGGCTTGAACTGTTTGCGTGTTTTTTATTTTTTAATAAATAAAATAAAAAGCTCCAAGTGACTGTAAGCTGTGAGAATTATTCAATACAAGTCCTGTCTGCTGATTAAAAAAATAAAATTTAAAAATAAAAACATGAGCGTCACAAGCAGGCTGCTTTAAAAGGAGCAAAATAAAAAAAAAAAAGGGTTTAAGCCAACTGCCCTCACACAACCCTGCACCTGATTCTTTACCATAATCGAGCGGAAAGGCATCATTGTAAATTGACATAATTAATGAGGTGGTTCATTCGTCCCACAACACTGTGCAAAACTGTCGAGGAACATTTCAGACAATGAAGCTTCTGTATCAGATGCAACTGGAGCCCCAGATCAACGGCTCCCTCTGTGAGACGTTGTGTCCTCAGCTGGACACAACTGGCCCCTTTTTGCTTTCCTGCACTCCTTTTAGACATGTGCAACACTTTACATAAACCTCTGGGCTTCCAGCGTAACCACGAGCTTATTGTGACAAAACTGAAGAGGTGTGCTCTACTTGGAAAACAGTTCCCTCTTAATCACATAAAAAGGCAGTTAAGAAGCTAACAAACAGTGAACAAGGGCTGTGGTGCTCTCACTTTTAGAAAATAATTTAAAATCACCATTTGATCTAAAATGACATGTTTCATGCTGTGTTAAAATAATTCCTCAAGTCTCCCCAGTGGTGACCTGAAACTTTTTCTGAGCTGATTTGAGGGTAGAAAATGACAGATGAGCCTCTAGTCTACACACTGGACTGTTAGGCTACGATCAAAACACTTTTCACAGCAAGCGTGTGCAATTTTCAACTCCACTAAGAATGATTGTCAATATACATGTCAGGACTCAACACGCTACCCTTAGTCTCAACTCCAGAGCCGACCAAATTCAATTAAAATCAGTGGCATTTTGGCCTCACATAAAATTAGCTTGGCAAATAAAATTAACTTAAAAAAACAAGTCAGGTGTTGAATACAGAAAATCCATATATGTGCAAGACTCTTCATCGTTTCACCACTATACTCAATCATCTTTTTTTATTCTAGCAGTCCACACAAGGGCCAACGTAGAACTGCAGCTTATAATAAATCAAAGTGCAGCTTACAAACTGCCATTAAAACAACCTACAGCTTCTTAAAGCAAGCAGCTGCAGGCACTTCTTTCTACTGGAGTTGGTTAACGCTAAGTGTTTATGTAAGCATGTCAGGTTTATATTGTTCTTTTTCTTTTTTTATACTATTTTAAGTGTTGGAGCCAGGAGCCAGGAGAGGAGCAGTACAAAGAAAAAAAGAAAAAGAAAACAGGGAAGACAAAACAGAAAACGTGACAGAGATGGATGCTCAGGTGCTGTTGTTGATGGATCCAGGTGCTGAGCTGGGTTGGGCGGTACTGTCTGACACGCTGCCCTCTGCAGGGGAAGAGACAAAACGCAGGGTAAACAAACGAGTTTAATGAAATTTAATTACCGATAAGTTAATAAAGTTTAATTAAATAAAAAAAAAAAAAAAAAAAAAAAAAAGGAAATAGCATTAAGCATCTGAGCTAAAGACAATCACTGAATCAATGAAAGAGGCCTAGAGTAAAAGAGGCTTAGGCTCATGTGGATCCAGAAAACGCAACATGTACATCCACTTTATTAGGACCACCTGTTTACTTGTTAACACAAACAGCTAATCAACCAATCACATGGCAGCAAATTAATGTCTAAGATGACTTGACGGAGTTCAAGCCGATAATCCGAACAGGGAACAAAGGGGATTGAAGTGATTTTGAATGTGGTGCAGTTATTGGTGCTCCTAACACACGACCATCTCTAAGATTTAGAGAGAATGATCTGGAATAAAAAAAGAAAATATTTAGTGAGCAGCAGTTGTGTGAACGAAAACATCTTGTTCCAACCAAGATATGCAGCTGCTACAGCAGCAGAGCACCACAACTTCTGCCACTCCTGCCAGCTAACAGGAAACTAAAGCCTCTTTGCCATTGAAAAATGAGACTCGAGTCGGTTCTCGTCTTATCGGTTCTTCTCAGGTGTAGGTGAATCGCCACTGTGACTCATTTCCCCACTCTGTGGATGGGATCGTCAATGCAAACTGGGTGGATTCTTGTAGCACCCTCCAGCTTGTGCTGAATCCTCCGATTCACCAATAAAGACAAAAAGGTCTGGACCTTGTTATTGGTCCACAGCACTGTCTTTGAAGCTCCCATTTAAACTAGAAACTAGAAAAAACTAACTAACTAACCCACACTATAACAATCGGAGGAAATGGAGGTTCAGATGCAGTTTTCCAAGAGACGTAGCTCCGCTGGCCAATCAGTAGCTGCCTGCTTACGTCAAAACTGTAACCTCAGACCAGTTTGCTTGGAACCACGAAAAAGATGGTCCCACAAACCAGGCTGAGTGGGGGTGGGTACCGGCAGTGGGCAGGCCCTTAAGTAGTGTGGTGTGGAACCAATGAGAGTTGAGAGTGTCGAAGCAACACAAGACAAAGTTGAATGAGAAATTGGAAAACCCATGGCTGTGTGTGAAAGCAAGCAAATAAATTGGTGTAGAATGTTAAAGGTGTCTCCCTACTAAATGGAAAGAAATTGATTGAATTTAATAGTACTGTAGGTTTTTATTCTCTATTTGAAGCAATAAAAGCTAAAAACATAAGCTGCATTATGTACCATGTGAGGCAGGTGATGTCTGTGCACGAGCGTGAGGAGGAATGAGCGTGGAGTTCAACTGGGGCTGAATCGAGAGCTCTGAAAATGCAGAAAAAAAACAGACAAAACAATTACACACACATTTCTTCCAGAAAATTAACACCGACAACTGTTCACATTCAAAGGCAACATTAATTATCTATTGTAGAAATAAGTGCAGATACACTCTCAACGAAAACCAACAACTACCGATAATATATTTTTGTTATAATAAAATTATACTCGAATAAAAGGTAACTATGAAACAACGGGTCAGTATTTTAGATTTCGTTTCCAGATATTTTACATTAAATCTGTGACACAGCCTGAAAACAGTGTTCGTAAGAGTACAAACGTTATTTTTGAGGTGAATAAAGGCAGAAAGTTAAATGAGTAAAACTTGATAATAAGTTGTTACTCTTTCACTTACAAGAGCTGAGTCAAGCCTCTAGAAGTACTTAAATGGAAATAAAATTTGTAATGCTGACCTCTTGTGCCTTGTTAATCTTTGTCAAAGTCAAACGGCACAAATAAATGAGAAAGAACTGTCCTTGGTTTTATTAGCTTTGCAGGTAGTATATTATAGGAGTAGAGAAAAGAATATAAGAAGCAAACTGACCGACGGGACTGAAGTTGAATAGGGGTGGCAGTTCTCGTCCGCTGGGCAGACGGGTGTTGGGCTGGCGCAGCTCATCGAAGAAAGCATGCGCACATGCTTCCAGAGGAGACAGTCTGGAAACTGGGGTGTACTCGAGCAGCCGAGAGCAGAGGGCAATGGCCTCTGGTGGGGTACGAGGCTTAAAGACCTAAAAACACATGTGGAAAGAGAAAACCGTTGAGGGAAATGTGTATGGGCAAACTCAAACCAGAGATGAGAAAAAAAACAACTGAGGAAGCTCGTTTGTTTCCAGTCAAATTTAAATACTGGAACATTACAAATAAGGATCCAAATGTCTAAATAAAATTGCACCTTTGTCCAAGGATGAGCTTTGATCTGGGGGAATTTGAACTCTGTGTAGTTAGGGTTCATCTCTCGGATCTGCTCTCTTGTTGGCGTCCCCAAAACCTAACGTGAGAAAAAAATATCAATAAATATCATGAACATCTGTTGATAAACCTCAAACATTTTTTCTATACTGCATTCATTTGTACTGCCACCAGTATAATTTATTCTCATTTTAATATATTTATGATAAACAACACTATTCTTGATCAAATTTGTCTTTTGGATTAGAGCATAACTACAATCTGTGTCTGCACAGACGTTTTTTTGGCTTGACTGAATAATGTTCATTCAAACTTTACTCTTAAAATGTTTAAGACGTATCCTGAGGCATGCTCAATAATCCAGGTAGAAAAATCAAAAAAAGTTCAATCTGGTCCTCTGGACAAAGATTAACAAGGCACAAGAGGTCAGCTGGGTTTAAGACATATCTCCATGCCTCAAAGCATTTATCTGAATGAACCTACTCGCAACATTTTAGGTTTGAAAATAATTGACTGTGTGGGTCATTTAGATATAATTTACATTCACATGTAGAGAAATTAAATCTTATAGGAGTATACATTTTTTTACACAAGCCATTTGTGGTGGTTTGTTGGCTTTTTCCTACATCCTCTTGACTATACCTTGATGATCTCTACTAGCTGGTCCACACCACTGTCCCCAGGGAAGATGGGCTGGCCTAGCAGCAGCTCCGCTAACACACAGCCAGCTGACCAGATGTCAATGTTGGACGTATAGTCGGTGGCGCCAAATATAAGCTCTGGGGCACGATAGTACCGTGAGCAAATATAGGACACATTTGGCTCCCCTCGAACTAACTGCTTAGCACTGGAAAGTTTTAAAAAAGGAACAATATGAAGAATAACAATAAAAATATTTTATTTGCACAAAAATCACTTGTTGATAAAAACAAACTATTCAAAAACTGAAAACTGAGCGAGGGAAAGATACGACCACGCACAATTTGACAGAACATGCAACACAAAATACAAACAGTTGTCACTTATGTATTTAAAGATGAAATCTGTTACTGACCTGCCAAAATCACAAAGTTTGAGAATGGCCGTCTCTGGATCAACCAGGAGGTTCTGAGGCTTAATGTCTCTATGACAAACGCCCTGGGAATGGATATAGGCCAGACTGCGGAACAGCTGGTACATGTACACCTGAGGAGGACACAGAGAAATGTAAAAAATAAAAAGTCAGCTTACAGAAAATCAATTGGCATCCAAGAAGACACACAGAAAAACATTCAAACACACATATCAGGTCACTGATGACAATCAGGAGGAGAAGAACTCTGTTCTATTTACTGCAAGTTGGACTGAATTCTGTAGGTTCTTAAGGCTGTTTATTCTCATTTGTCAGAATTCAATTTAATATATCTTTATCCTTATTACTCAAAATGATAAAACACCAACAAGAAGAACAAGTCAAAGTATGCTTTCCCACAACACAATAGTAAAATTAAACAGAACCTGGACCAGATGAGTGTCAGAATGATTTAAATAAACAATTCAGTGTTTTTAAAAGTTCAAACAAGTCTTTGTTGCTGGTTTGACGGTTTTAACAAGAGAAAAGATAAATGATCTGAAAATAACAGACACCTAAACAAGAGTCCAATGAGCTCATAGATAAAAACAACGTGTAACCACTAGAAGGCAAACGTAAAAAAAAAAAAAAACCTTATCTTTAACATCAAAAGCACCACACAATTTTGATATATGAATACCATAAAAAGACCAAGAAGCTGAATGAAAAGTGACTCAAATTTAGTTTATAGAAAATATGCTCTTTTAGAAGGTTTTGAATTTCAGGCATGAGATCATCAAAATTACTGCGGTGTACATTTAGTACAAACAATAAATAAATAAAAATCACAAAATATGATAATATTATAATTGATCTTCAACATCATGCAACAACAATTTTATGAAACAATCCAAATAGCAAATGTTCAGGTTTTATTATAAAAATGTCATCTTCAATTTTAAAGCTTTGCTTATCCATAGCTTTTGGGATGCAAGGTCCACGCTGGCATTAAAAAAAAATAGAAAAATCTCAGGATCTCAAATTAGACTGGACTCATGCCAAGGCCAGTAACGGACTGTTCAATCTGAAGACATCCCTGCTCCTGTTTTCTAGAACCTCCCGAGTCTTCCGCCCTGGAGAAGACACGAAGGAAAATCTCACGTCCTTGATGCCTAATGTCTTCCTGCTCCCCCACTGACAGGCTGCTAGCAGGAGTGGGTGCATCACTTCAGCCTGCTGTTAGACAGAATGTGTTTTTAAAACAACTCCATGCACTGCTCTCCTTAAAAAATAAAAGATAAGAAACTTGTACAGTCTCTCACTAACATGCATAAAAAATTAAACAATAAATTTAATGAAGTTAAAGTAAGGAACAAGCAAACTCCCATATACTGCTAAAAGATTGCACTTTTTGATCAATTTGTTCCTTCTGGGACAAAAACGGGGTGAAAAAACAAAGTAAGATGTGAGGATATAAACTGCTTTTTTAAAATTGTGTTTTTGCTATTTGAATACAAGGAGCACCAAAAGCCCATACAATTGGTCCCGTTTTAGTCACATCCACAAGTCGTACTTCTAATGCAACGTAAAAGTGTGTCTCCAAAAAAAGGCTATGATGAAGCTTGTTTCTACACCAGAACAGCACAAGGGAAAAATGAATCAAAGACATGTCCAGCTTCATCCAACTCTTTTGACATTTATCCTTAAATTTAGGTCAGCAGTCAAACTCAGATAAAAACTGTCCGTACTTTTAAGTATGCACCCTTTCAGTGAATCTAAGAAATGCGGGCGGAAAGTATTTTAATAACAACAAATGATGACTGTCGTCACCATCACAATAATCGTCATTATTACCCACATGGTGCTGTGACAGCAGGCTGGCCAGATTACTGAACGATGACAGAAAAGATGACTGAGAAACGATGGCTGTTGCCAAGAGAGCAGAGAGGGAAGAGGAGAGGAAGATTCACAAAACGCTAAAGAAGGAAAAACATGAGCGCACAGGATACAAGAGGCAATGTGTAACAGAAGTGTGTTGTCGTGGGACGAAGGGAAGCCAGGGAAGAAAGGAGAGATAAGCGTGCGTCTCAAAACCTCAGGGGAGCAGCAGGCTGAGGTGAGGAAATGGGCCATGAGACAGCTATAATGTCCCCTCTGCTGCATTGTATGCAGTAAACACACAAACACTAATATGAGCACCGTTTTAGCAAGAGGATTGCAAACAATATCTCCCATGGGCCCACCTTTATATTTACCTACTTTCATTAAGCTGCCTTTGAATATAAACATACTGGATGGCTTATTCCATCCAAAGGCAATTACTGAAGATATTTTCATCATTAAGTTCTCACTAATTTCCCTTCAACAAGTGAAAAGAAAGATGAGTCAGATTTAGTCAATCTGATCCCCAAAACTCAAAATCACCGATTTATGACTAAATTGTACAACGCTTGTCTTTCTAACACTTTGAAGAAAATGTGTATTTTGTGATTAAAACAACAACAGAAAAACATAATAAATGTGGTGCCATTTTCTATGGCTATTTTTGCCAAGTTCTTCAACAATGAGAATTTTTACAAAACAGATCTCCCCACCATCACAGACATTTACACCTCCAGATGCAGGAAGAGAGCCACCTGCATCATGAAGGACCCCACTCACCCAGCACACAGTTTTTGCCCTGCTCCCCTCAGGAAGGAGGTTAAGGAGCATTAAGTGTAGAACCACTAGACTGAGGAACAGCTTCTACTCTGAGGTTGTTCCTCGTGAATCTCTAACCAGAATAATCACTGTGAAAAAAATCACATCATGTTGCTGCTGATCTGTTTCATGTTGCTGCTGATCTGTTTCATGTTGCTGTGTTCATGCGTGCTCATCTGCTCACACAGACTTGTTCATGCTGCTGTTCGACGTAATGCTTTTATGCCATTAGTGCTTAGTGTATTATTTAGGTGATGTTTTTCTAAGTTCATATCTTAGATCTTGTTACTGTTTTTTCTTTTACATTTTATTGTTGGATGTAACTGGGACCCTGTGTACATAATCTCGTTCCACATGTACCACGAGATGCGAATGACAAAAATCTCTCTCTCTCTCTAAAAATGAGGCATGTCATCTTGACATAAATTATATGAACCGACCTTAAAATTTTTAGCGGCATCATGAGTAGAAGAGAAATGCCACCTGGGAAAACAACTGGCAGAGGCTGTTTGTGTATGTTTACATTTCTTCTACTCACCTTAACATAGATGATGGGGATTGTGGTCTTGGCCTTGTTGAAGTGCCGAGCCACCCTGTACACTGTCTCCGGGACATAATCCAACACAAGATTCAAGTACACCTCATCTTTCTGGTAAAAAGAACAAAAAGACACAGGACTGTTAGCAACAGGTGGAACGTGAACGTAAGCTTTTCTAAAACCAGTTTCCGTTCACTGAAGTCTGTAGCGCCAGGAAAGTTCACAAAGAGCACCATAAATGGATACAAAATTTGGCAGCACTCAGTCTAGATTTATTCACCTCAGTTTTGAGCCCTGGTACACAAGTGTTTTTATTTTTAGAACCTTTTATGAAATTCAATTTTTTTTAACCATGTACATAAAAACAGAGGCTTGTTTGTGATTGGGGTGTTCAGAGTTGAGGCTGGATTCTATCCCAGCAATCCACAGGTGAGAAAAACCATTAGTGGGGTCAAAACACCTCAAGTTTTTCCATCTGTTGTTGTCTGTGGTGAAAATGTTTTACTTTTATTGCTTTACCCTTTATGCCACAAGTTACATGCAACCGGCACAGCCTATTACAGAACCAGAGTCCGACTTTCTGTCCTACTCATCTGGTCTTTGCTGGTTAGTGCAACTTCTTACAAAATAATGCTTTTTTAAGGTGAACAAGAAAGTCATACCCAGCATTACTGATTCATCGATTCCCTCTAGAATACAAAAGGACAAGAAACACTTAACTAATGCTTTATAGTAGTTATAGCTTCTTTTTTTTTTTTTTGCTGTTTTCATAGTTCAGATTAATTTTTTATTTTTATAAATGTGTTTTTAAGACAAACAATTCAAAGGTTTAAGTAAATTATTGCTTTAGTAAATATAATAAGGAAAGCAGTGACTAGGATTTTCAGACTAACACCAGTAGTTTGAAACAAACAATTTAATTGTGGTCAAAGTGATTCTTTACCATGTGAGTTTTTCTCCCATTTATTTCTGATGTGTTAGATTTGGAACCAAAATTTGGCATCTTAAGAAAACTCTCACATAGCTTGATAGTAGCAACTAAATAATATTTTAATGTTGCATACAGAACAATGTTATAAATCAATTAATTTGCTTATTTGCAATGTCAAAGATCCAGATACAGCTTTTAAACCTTTTAAAAATACAAAGTGTCACAGTTGGCTGATGTAAAAACTCAGTGAATGATCTTTAATTTGCACAACTCTAAATAAATTACTTATTGAATAACCAACTTGACTTCATCATGCACATGAATCATCAGTGACGCATGAGGTGGTAATAATTACCAAGGCGTGGGAGGACTCTGCTTCTTCTAAATAATTCAATATTAAACATCAGCTCAGTTCATACACACCTTCTCCCCACTTGAGTAGAAGAAGTAGCGTAGCCTGACAATGTTGCAGTGGTCCAATTTCCTCATAATTTGCAGCTCTCTATTCTAAAATGAAGAAAAGATCAAAAGTAGTATGAGAGATAAAACTTTTTTTCTTTTTGACATTTTAACAAGCAGCTCTGTGTTTACATTACCTTAAACCTTTTGTCTTGGAGAACTTTCTTAATTGCCACCATCTCCTGAGTGTCAATGAGGCGAGCCTGGTAGACCACCCCAAAGGAGCCATTTCCTATGACCTTTATGTCTGTGTAGGACACTTCTTGAGGGCGATCAGGGCCCTGCCCGGGTGTGGCTACCACCGTTGTCACTTTGCCACTGTCTCCTGTAGATGACAGAGCAAATATAACTTGTCAAAGAACACATCAAATTAGTGATCCCTCACCTATCATGGGGGTTACGTTCCAGAGACTGCCGCGATAGGTGAAAATCTGCAGTGTAATATTTATTTTATTATTTACATATATTTAAAAAGGGGCAGCACAGTGGCACAGTTGGTAGAGCTGATGCCTCTCAGTGAAACGGTCGCCCAGGTTCAAATCCCGGCCGGGGGCTTTTCTGGGTGGAGTTAGCATGTTCTGTCTGTGCATGTGTGGGTTTTCTCCAGGTACTCCAGTTTCCTCCCACAGACCAAAAAACATACATGTTAGATGGATTAGTAACTCTAATTGTCCCTAGGTGTGAGTGAGAGTGAATGGTTGTTTGTCTCATTTGTCTCTATGTGGCCCTGTGATAAACTGGAGACCTGTCCAGTGTGTACCCCGTCTCTCGCAGTGATAGCTGGACATGGGCACCAGTGACCCCCGCAATCCGAAAAGGAAGATGGGTAAAGATAATGGATGTATGGATATATATATTTTAAAGCTTTACAAACCATTCACACACTTCTACAAACCTTTCCCACTCTTAGGTTTACCCTTCACTCACAGCTCAGCACTGAAAACTTTAGTCCACGCCTACCTGATGTGTGAGCCACACCCTGGTCTGTATAAATTGCACTGAGACCGGAAATAGACTCCCAAATAAAATTTTCTTCAGCTATTTAAGAGCTGTGGAGGATAAGATTACTCTGGTGGAGTGAGCTCTGAGCTTCTTTGGAGGCTGAGATCCAGAGGATATATACACACCTGTGAAACAGCTTCACACAGTTAGTGTGACAGGCGCTGAGCAGAGAGGAAATCCTTGAGACTGATATCTGAAGTGCACAAAAGACAGAGCGGCGTGTGTGCGACGTAGCAGGATAGCGCATGCACAGGTGGCTGTAATGATTAATGTATTATGCTTGTGTCCACTAGGTGGCAATCACAAGTCTATGTGAATGTATAAATGTGAAGTATAGACAAGAGAGTGAGAGCTCTGTGAGATACCAATCATCAGACACCTGTGAGCAGAGCCTTAAGAAAAGTGCCTGAGCAGTCAAAGAGGACTAGTTCTTATCAAACACAAACATAACAGTGGCTTCCCCCTCCACTTGCGCAAGTGATAGTGGCGTACAGCATGCAACGCAAAATCCCGGCATACAGCAAAAACTCCACAATACAGAATTAGAAAAAACCTGCGACGCAGTGAAGCCGCCATAAGTGAACCGCGATATTGTGAGGGACGACTGTACATCCCTAACCCTGTCAAAGGAATGTTTCTTCATGCCTAAAATACAACTAGTAACATTCCAATCACTGCTATAAAATAAAAATTTAAAAACGTTTTTCTTTATCTGAACCACTGTCTGGTAGCTCCTGGGATATCACTAACTGGTAATGAGCTGATACTTCCTACAACACTCCACCTGCTCCCCTGGGTGAAACGAGGCTAAATCCTTTCAATCTGGAGCCATGCACAAGATCCAGAACCACTGATGTTTAATTCAACTCACGTTTGACCTCTTCATCTGAGTGTGTCAAGTATTAATCCCTGGCATGCAAATTCATTACAGAAGCCGTCTCAGGGACTGTTGTTTGTGTATTTGAAAGAAGAGGTGCAGAGGGAGCAGGATGGTGACAGAAACGAACAAGCTATTCAACTTGTGCTTGATGAGAAAGCAACCTTAAATGAGTAACTAGTTTAGCAACAAGCCTAAAAAGAGCAATCTTCCTCCTCTGAAAGAAAATAGTTGCTTTAAGTTAATTCCGTTGAGGTACTGAATGATCCGTGTAGATTTTACACAAGCAAAGAGGTTGGTTTTTTTTTTTTTTGCTTCTTTGAAAAACAAAAGTGTGGTGTAGCTTGACCGTTGTGCGACAAGATTACCTGTCCTTGTAAAACACAGCGAGTACTGAACAGTTTAAAGTTGCGTGGATTAAACAAAGGTTTTTTTTGTAAACTAGCTGTCATTTCAGCCAGAGCCAACATGATTACAATAAATATCGTTGTAACCTATAACATTTACCAGCAAAGATTCAAAGGCAGTATTTATCAAACATGTTATTTTCATCACGTATAACAAATATCAGTTTTTGAAAAATGGATAAATTAGCAAACAGAAACCTTTTTTGCCAAATATGTTTGCGCACACACACATTTTTTTCTTTCTCTGAAGTTTCTCCAGTACTGAATGCACTAACTACACAATTTTTCATTAAAAACAATTAAAACAATGAAAGTATTAATTGTTCATTAAGGGATTACAGAGCATGTAACTACTGTCCATCCAACCATCATCTTTACCCACATTTTTGTTTATGATTCATAAAGGTTGCTGGTGCCCATAACCAGCAGCCACTGTGCAAGGGGTGAGGTACAGTACATCATGTACAGGTTGCAAGACAAGTCTTGTTTGTCTCTACGTGTTTGTGTGATGGGCTTGCAACCTGTCCAGGGTGTACCCCGCCTAGTGCGCAGTGACTGCTGGAGATAGGCACCAGCTCACTGCAGCCCTACACTGAAAAGTGGGTAAAGAAAATGGATAGGTGGATAATTAGTATTTTGCTAGTTTTATTTTTTTAATAGGAGAAATAGGTATGGACAGGTCAGAGCTGTAAAAATAATGAAATTTGGTATTGCCCCCAAAACTTAAATTGGTGCATCTCTAATAAGTATGGAATAATTGTAAACTGAGAAGTACAAGTTTATTCATTCAACCTTTATTTAGACAGGTTAATCCCACTGAGCCAATGTCATTTACAAGAGAGACCTTCTAAATAGGGGTGCACCCGATTTCTTTAATTTTGGGAAATCGGAAATCGTCCAATACTTACATGAGAAACCGATTTTACAGATTTTTTTTTTTAGTTTTAAACAACTGTCTGAACTTCATTTATATTTCAGAGCACTACCCCATGGCCAGTTAAAACAAGTTTGTATTGTTTCTAGGATATTGTTCAAGGGTATGTTTTTCAACAAAATAATATTGGAAAATTAAAGGTACATTGTGACCTTATAACACCTGACTGTCGCTTATAAAACAAAATCGGTATCGGTCAAAATCGAAATAGGCAGGTCAGACATTTTAGAAAATCGGTGATTGGCCAGAAAACTGCAATCGGTGCACCCCTACTTCTACATTCTAAGTTCTTCTAAAGATACAGCTATATAAAGATATAGAAAGAAATTATTTCTTTTGGCTTCTTCTTTATGCAAGGGTTGCCACAGCGAGCAAACTCCGTGATAGAATTGGCAGTTGCTTTTACGCCGGATGCAATACCTGATGCAACCTGGGCTTGAACCAGCAACTTCAAGACCACAGCACTGACCACCAAGCTACCGCAGCTGTACGTAGATAACATACAGGGGAAAGAATCGTATAGAGGAACTTTCATGAGTAACACAGTAATACTAACACTGCTAAATGTTGTTTAAACTCCATGCAACACAGCCCAAACTTGACAACTACTATAAATGAAATTCATATGAAATTAAGTGTATGATCTGGGATTTTCAGGATTTTACCTGAAGGATATTAGGTGAGTGCCAAGCCTGTCAGGCTAATAATTCACCTTATGTAAAAGTATGATATTAGAGACATAACTCTTTTTGACAGCTCCACTTACGGTCAAGTAGCTGCGTGGTGTTTGAGGCCTGTTCGTGTGTTGGGTCAAGAAGGATCTGACAAATGGGAAGCAAAAAAAGCACACAAGGAGGAGTGGAGCAGCAGATAAAAGGCCCACTGCCAAAAGGCTTGTCAGGGCCTGCGATAAAATTGCACGGACAGTAGCACACCCGGAGGTAAAACCATTTTCGGTGCTTGCTCAACTCACTTGTCTGAACAGGACCACTCCAGATTTTGAATATGTTTTTATGTTTCGAACGGTGTCAAAAAATTACGTAAAACAAATAAATTTCAAATTAGACTACAATCTTGTGCTAAAAATTGTACAGAAATCCTAAAAGTAGAAGTACACTTTCATTATTTTAAATGTCTTAGAATTATTTCAACATACATATGCTAAACATTTAGCATACATCTCCATCACTCAGGTCACCAAGAAAGATTTAAAAGAGATTTAATTCAGTCTATCACCGCTTCACAACACACCAAACCTTTTGTATTTTATTTTTGCATCACTTAGTTCCACTTCTCTTTTTAAACAAATGAAGTCAGAGGGGAGCACATTAAATATGGAGCAGTTGTGGCATGATATTGTCCTGAATAATAAATGTGAAGAGGAGCAATCTCTGCCCAGCTGTCAGTGAACAGCTTTGGTTTTGAAGACGCCAACACAGGTCTGATGAGTAAAATAAGAAAGAATGAGCAGAGTCGCTTTCATTACACCTACACTTAATGAAAAATTACCCCAGAGCTTATTTGTGGGTTTAAAACTCTAGTGCACTTTTTACTTGATAAAAGAATCTCATCATATTTAAATTAAAACTAACATTTTATCATTAGTGGCCCTTTTAGCACCTTAGCTGACGGTGTTTGATGATGCCAGGAGGACATGGACAAATTACTTTAAAGCTATTGGTGATTTTAAAAAAGTCACACACCTGCAGATTTTCCACATCGTCAGAGTACAACATACTTCAACTAACTCAACATCATGACGCATATCTGCCATAGTTGATTCATGTGCCAAAATTGCTGTTATTTCCAAACAGAAAATCTAGAAACCACACTGGGTGGAAGTCACTGGCATTAGTGTTAATGTAAGGTAAACAGGAGACCAGAAACTAATGTGGCAACCCTCAAGTCAGAATGCTATGAAAAACTGAACTAATGAAAGGTTTCCATGTGGATTGGGCATGACTCATATAACCAACAATCTTAAAAAAGGTACCAACACCAAATTAACATTTAATATACTAGTTTAGAGACAGGTTTGTGAGGATAGAAGAAAAGGAGCCAATTAAATTCAAGACTGTGAATGTGACCAAGTTGAGTTAGAGCCTGCAAAATGTCAGTTTCCATTAAACATGAAGCTGAATTAGAGGTAATGAAAAATATGATCCAAGAAGAATGGCATCTAGAACCAAGAGAACATTCTGAACCACACACACAAACCCACCTAAAATACATTAAAAATATGTGCTTAATAGTAAAAATTTAATTATTAAATATTATGACTATGTAGCAAAAGATGTATTTGCATAACCAAAATTGTAATTACAACACAAGCATTAAAATAAGTATTAAAAGCTTGTAGCAAAATAAGAAATGTACGTATACAGTCGTTCATCCTTTTTCTAAATATTCTAATAAAAAACTGAGTTTTAAGATTCCTGACAGATGCTATTTGCAAATATTCTGACATTTAAAGCAGAAGAGTTGTTTTAAGCTGCAAACATTCATATAACCATTTTCACACCACATTAAATAACTATGATTAAATGTGTTGATCATGGAATAAAAACTGTAAAGTAGTTCAAGTGTAAACAGTTTTAACATCTCACAGTTAACAACAAAAAAGGCCGAAGAAACTTACACCTTCTCGGAGTCTCACAAGAAATTGTCACGTTTAAGGAAATTAAGGAAATAAAAAGAAAGCCAAAAGGAAATGGAGTTTGTGTAATTTACTTACATAACTATCATTAAGTGATTCTCTGCATTTTGTCACAGTAGGATGAGAACTCACATCTTTTTCAGGATTTTGATACTCTAATAGCTTTGACTTCATCTATCATTCAATTTTTTTTTTCAAACAAATCTCATGTCATAAAGCATGGCGAAATACTGTAATTATTTTTTTGTTGCTTTTTAAAATGTGGAAAACAAGCAAGTACAATTGGTACTGGTGTTTCCTCCTCTATCACTAAAGTACCAGTATACGTAGTTCTCTGTAACATATATCAAAATCTCATGCCTGTATGCGTAATTTCTGCTAATCAACAACAAACTTGAGTAATGGAGGTCGATAAAATCGAATAAATGGCACTTTAATAAGTCCACGTGAATTAAGAAATAAAATTTAAATAAATTGTTTTATTATTTATTTTTTCAGGCATTGTCTGATAGAATCGAACATGTACCAGTGACAGGAAGCTACTAAAGCACTGGCTTTTTATTGGGAAAGACGAGTTTGACAGGGTGTTAAAAAAAACAAACGATCAACTAACAACCCACTAAGCTGCAGGTGGTAACATTTTCCCAGCCTCTCAACAAAAACTAAAATATAAATATTTAATTTTAGCTGAAGAAAGCAAAGCGATATTATGCATTTGTTACTAAATATGTTTCACAAATTGCAAGGACGTTTATAATAGTTTTGCTTAGTAATCATCAGGTATCCGTTACACAACTAAAAATACCGTAAGTCATAACTACTGGTAGTCAATCAGTTGTTTTTGTTTTTTTTAATTCTGTGTAGTCATTTTAATTTCCTCTGACCACTTAAAGATGAGATGGTGTCGCCCAACTAAATAGCAACCATAGATCAGACAGACTTTACTTCATAAACAGAAAAAAGAGAGGAGCCAGCCAGGAGTTGTGACTCGTTTTCCACTTGATTTGCATTTGTCAGCTGACTATTTGTAGCAGGTTTTATGGGTATAAACTAGAGATGCACCAGTCAAAACTCTGCAGGCTTTTACAGATTTCCAGTATTTGTACAGCTTTGACTTGCTAATACAGATTTTGGCAAATTCCAATTTTCCTCAAAAAACTATGATTAACAGAATCCACAAAATACATAAATAATTAATTTCTATTTAAAATGAAATGTCGTCTGTTCATTATCAAATATCTACGGTAATCCTAACAAATTGAATTGAAGGGATCCAGAGTTCCTTAGATTCTTGAAGTTGTTTTACTTCTCATCCAAGGAGCACACATCTACACAAAATGCAAACGTGTAAAAATGATTTATTCACGAGTTAAACAACTCATGCGATGAATAGTCCAAAATCAGTTAATAAACTTGAAAAAGTTGCACATTTCAGTTTAGGACAGAGAAAGCATGGAATAAGGAAGAAGTCCAGTGGTTTTGATTTAATTAGGTAAGATCTATACCTTCAAAGTGTATGTAATACACTATGTGTGTATGTAAGAATAAGTGTAAGATTCTACATAATGTTTACAGTAAAAAAAAAATAATAATAATTAAACATTTCCCCCTCCCCAAAACCACACCAAAACAGAGACATAATCTAATAAATGCTATAACCTAATAATATCCTCCAGATTTTCTGGACAGACTGTAACAGTATAGAGACTAAAGTCACAAAAACTATAATGCTATGTTTACTCTTCTGTACAATCCAATCTGAAGCAGTAAATCACAAGTCATTATTGAATTACTACTGATACTAATGCATAAGTGCCATTTGTCCTTACTGTATCTGCATGTCAGCATATCCAAGAAATAAATTGTTGGCTTAAACCAGAGTGGTCAGTACTATTAAAATGGTAAAGAAAGTAACGTCTTTCAGTTATAGATATAAAAAGTCAGGTGCTTGCACGGCTTCATAATTAATGCATCCATAAAAATAAAAAAAATTCTACTTTACTCCTCTGTAAGCAACAAGACTCGTTTCCCCAGTCATACGATTTACCTGAGATGGATCAGGTTATAGACGAGCAGTTTCATCCAAGAAGCCAGAATTTCTTCTAATGTTTTAAAATGTCCTTAAGCAATATATCTTCTGGCTTTTTTGAACGCCTTTAAAAAAAAATTTGTCTAAGACTTCAGCTGTTGATTTTTTTTTTTAATTAGTTTAGTCATTTTCTCTCATTAACCTGATCATTTCAGTAAAAATGTTATTGTATGGCTGGCACTTTGTTATTAGCTAAATTAATACAGTTTGACAAACAAAGTAGTATTTTAGCAACAAAAAGGTAATTCCCAAAGAGCTATTTACTGAAAATCTAGCATTCAGTAGACAACCAATTGAAAAATGGTGGATTTCCCAGGTCCCGTGAGTCTGAATCTTGTTAAATTGTGGGTTGTTTTTTTCTAAAGACCCTGTTCATCCGTTGTAGACTTCTTATTACGTTTGATATTTCTTATTTTGTCTTCCACTTGTACACTTTTAAAGATTTTTGGTACACTACACAATATGATGCGATGGTCAGAAACAAGGATTTGACTGAAAATTAGTAGAAAAAAGCAGTTGAAATTCAGAGACTAACTTTGAACGACCTTTAAAAATCCTGGAGAACTATTGATCAAGTCTGGCTTGTAGAAACCAAAGCACAGAACCACCCCAGAACATTAGGGTGGTTTTAAACTTTTGCATTGACTGTGCTGTATACGTTGTCACGAAGTCATTAATGTTAAATACTTTTGCTTAAATGTCTTTCAAGTGTGAAATTAATAACGCATTATATATTTAACCAAGACTGACAAAACATATCAGCGAAAGATCAGACAAAACTGAGTGTAACAGCAAACTCAGAGCAGATGATTTTCTCAACAGTTCTCTGTTAGCAAGTCAGTTTCCATAAAAATGACAAGCATAATACGAGGATTAATCTAATTTCTAATCCTAAATTACAACACGATAACAATATTTTAATAACAATCACTAAAATATGAAATATTAAAGTAAAACAAACGTCTTACTTTTAAGCTTTTCTTCACCAAAGCTAACGGTGTTAGCTCTGAGATGAAAGCCCTTGATGGTAGCAGCTAACAGCTAACTCGGTAATGTTAGCTTCGCGACATCATTTCGGCATTAAAAACACTTGGATTTAGTAAAATAAAAAACAATTTGAGCTCCAATACTAAACAGATAGAATGAACACATCATAAGCACATTAATAAAACTTACTAGGCAGTTTTAAATTCCCAAAGCTCGTCGAGCCGCTTCCGCTGGCTTGTGAAGCCCCAGTTTTTCCTGTCGAGCTTCCGCCGGCTACTGCTGATCCGGCACCGGCTGCAGCAGATCCGGGAGCTCCGGGAGGCTCAGCGAATGAGCTGGTCCTGGCCCGCCCGCTGCCGCTCATATTTGTGTGAACTACAGCCCGGGCAGGGATTAACGTTTAGAGCGAGAACACGGGAAGACACTTTGCAATTTAAATGTGTGCTTTAAAATTTGATAGGAATAATAAGTACTTACAGCGTTCAGTACAGGTTTCCCGTCTCCCCCTTTCTTCCTCTGTAGAACAGTGATGGTGGGGGGACTGAGGAGTGAACGTACAACGACGTAAAAGTCGCGAGGGAACATGGGAAAATGAGTTTTTAGGTGGCTTAAAAATAGTAAAAATACAGTTAAAACGCGACAATGCTATTAAAAGCCTTTATCGTTAACTTTTATAAATAACAAAATATAATAATGTGTACGGTGTTTTTTTTTTAAATAACGATTAAATAAAAATAACAGAAATTAGCCATATTTTTTTAACAAAGTAAAAACGACAAAAAAGAACAAACTCATGTCTTAAAAGCGTGTACCAATTCGTCTTTAAAGGCACCACTAATAACTCCACAAATGGTAGTAATATTGTTTAATACTAAATTTTAATTTAAAATAACGTACACGGTTTGTATAATCTGTTAAACTGAATTTAAAGAACAAAGAAAACAAACTTCTCAGCTATCTGAAAAGTGTTGGCTTCTGGAGACTATGGTGATTTTCGCCTCTTTTTGGATATGATCAAGCAGTGCACCATTAAATTTTCACTCATTACCCCTAAACAATAAAGAAACCATCATTTGATTTTGCAAGGAAGCTTAGTTCTCAAATTTTAGATTCACCAAAATATTTAATACATTTGAAATAAATATGGAATAAATAATGACACTCTTAAATGGACCAGTACAATCTATTTTTGTTGCATGAGTCTGATCCTCAATGCCACCTGTCAATCAATCCAGTAGGCTTGTCAGCAACTGACCAATCAACGATCACAATTTGTCCCAAAGTGAAATGCCCCTTATCTGAAGAAGCTGCACCCTTTTTCTTTAACAACATTGTCTGGGTTTTGCATTAATGTTTTGAGGTCAGAGGGATTTCATAATTATTATTATTATTAATCAGATAAATGTTGTCAGTGGAGAAAATGTGATTCAGACAGTGTTACCCTGAGCATTTAGAGGAATCATTACAGTTTATTAAATTTCCAAAACCTAAACAGAGTATGGAAAATGTAGAAGATGGATAAAGCTGATCTCACGAACAACTGAATACAACAGTTATAAACAGGAAGTACCACATGTTCGTCTGTACAAAGGTAACTGCAAGTAAATCCTCCATTTTTTGTCATAATGACATTGTATGCTTAATGGTTAAATTAAAGGTTAATTGTGCTTTGTTTTGTGTGTTTTGTATGTAGATATATCTTGCACTTTCTGGTTGCATAAGTTTAGTCTTTGTTTGCTATGATTCGTTAAAAGTCCTATTTGTGACTGAGCTCATAGTTTACAGCAATATCACCTTGAACACATCTGATCTCAGCAGGGTCGGGCCTGGTTAGTACCTGCAGGAGACTGCCTGGGAATACAAGGTGACATAAGTTTTTTGCTCTTCTCACAAACTGCACCATAGGGTGTGTTGTTCAAGCCAAGAGCCATTGTCAGTACTGGGGGCTAAGCATCCCCAAAGATCAGATCCTAGAATTGCTCCTACTGGAGACACAAACATTTGATGTTAATTGTGACATCTCAACCTCTTTAGCATTATTTAAGATATATGAAATGTCTGAAGACAAACTTTACTGTTATGCTAAAGCTCCGTCGTAGTTATGTGACCACAAGTGAGAAGTATAAAGTGGCGTGAAATTTGCCGAAAGTAAAAATCTTTTCACTTCCTTAAATCCATTAAACTCGTGCAAAAAATACTTGCCTGCTTGCAAGTGTCCTCATCACCCAGGAGTGTTGCTGATCCAGCCTGTAATGAGTAAATTTAGATTTAATAATAATTTTAAAAAATGAAACAGTTATAGTGAATTAAAATTCATAAATATAATGAAAAGCCCCATGTTGTAAACAATAAAAAAAATACTATTGGTCAATTATCAGTAAGAAAAGATATATACATGTTGTGGTAACTGTTTGCCTAAAATTGAAACTAAAAACTTGAAATATGGTAAATATCTGAGCAAATCTCAAAATAAATGCAAAAAAGCAAATCTCCAAATATATATATATATATATATATATATATATATATATATATATATATATATATTTTAATGTGGGCCGGTATTACAATTTGAATTTGAAACAGATCTGAAATGAACATCATGTAAAGAAAGATCATAAACACAAACTGTTTATCACAAAATTCAATTCATCCATCAATTTCTTTCACCTGCTTCTTCCTTTTCAGGTTGCAGGGGTCACTGGTGCCCATGTCCAACAATCGCTGTGTGAGAAGCCTGGGAAACAAGTTACAAGTCCATCACAGGGACACACAAGACAAACAACCATTCACACTCTCGCTCACACCTAGGGACAATTTAGAATTACCAGTCAGCCTAACATGCATGTTTTTGGTCTGTGGGAGGAAACCAGAGAATCCATAATAACCCACACATGCATGAAGAGAACATGCAAATAAACTCCAGCGACCTTCTTGCTGAGAGGCAACAGCTCTACTAACTGATCCACTGTGCCACCCCAGTTCATTTCAGTTTAGTTTATTTACATAGCGCCAAGTCACAACATAAGTTGTCTCAGGCACTGTACAAAAACATTCACATACATTAAAATAAGCCAATTACCAGTGGTAAAAGTTATCTAAGGAAACAGTACAGTTCAGTTTTGTAATTTTGAATTTAATTAAAAAGATAGCATTTAACTCATTCAAATATTCATTAAAAATGTATTTTATTGTAAAAACATTCACTGAACACAGATTGTGTTGGGAACATCTTGCTAGATGTGAAAATTTCTAATAAAAAACGTTTTTCTAAGAAACACAATTTATGTGTAATTAGTAGTGAATTTATTGCCATTTTATATAAATACTTTTTAATTTTGATTTTACGTTTTTTATTGGATAATGTGGTTCGGAGAACTGTAAAACGGACTACTTTCAATGAAATCCAGTGAATATGAATGTAAAAAACTACATTTCCCTTGAGTCAAGTACACGTTTTGATTGACCGTTCATCTGTCCAATCGCATGATCTGAAATACGCACGACTACCGCACTGGGCGGAGCATTATGTGCATCACAAGAATGAGGCAATCGGTGGGCTAACGTTTCATTACCCGCTTTGTAACGTAAATTGAACGAACACTTTTTAAGGTAACTGTATTTTTTTTTTTTTTACAATTAATTGTCGCAAAGGACTAACAGAAACACCTGTATAAACTACGAGTGACGGCTACACGAAGAATTGTTCAACCGGAGTAAATGAGCGGGAGCGGTACGAGTAAAGAAGGGCCCGCCGTCGAATCCGTAGAGCTGCGGGCAAAAGTGGGTAGCGCCGCCTGACGGACCGCCCGATAAACCGGCTGCCGCTGTCAGGAAACCGCGGTGCCTAGAAACAGGTCTGCTTCATCCGAGGGAGCGCCGCCAACAGCTCTCCATATGCTATCACACACTGTAAACAAAAAATACGAATTTATTTAGTAAGAAATTAAGAATGTGTTAGCTTTTAGCTTTAGCTGGAGCTATTGCTAGCGACAGAGGCCTGCGAGCTGGTTTAGTGCCACTCTGAACCTCTGTATGTGAACGCTGCTGGGCATACGTGCTTTTTAATCGGTAGTTTTACTGTACAAATCATTTATAAATATGAGCGTACAAATTCTGATACGTTGCTTTAGCAATCCTAACATTTTAATTTACTTTTTGCCTCTGCTGGTGTATTCCTAACCCAGACTTTGAAGATGGCAGAAGTTGTCTAAATTCAATGGATCTTACTGTGAAGTTAACTTAAATTTACTTCCTTCTACATATATCCTCCTATGATTATACTCCCAACCAAGGCACAAGGCCGCACACACACAGACACCCTGTCATGATGGCGGAGCTGGGGCAGGAGGAGGCAGAGGACATGGTTGTGGAGCACCAGTACATGTGCAGTGAGTGCCAACAGCTCTTCAACACCCTCGAGGAGGTGCTGGTCCACCAGCAGATTCATACGGGCCAAGATGTGGAGGGTGAGGCTGTCCCAGAGATTGGACACAGTCAGCAGTACCAGTGCTTGGAGTGCGGGAGCCTCCTTGTAAACGCAGAGGAGCTGCTGCTGCATCAGGAGATGCACATGAGAGAGGCTGGGATGGAGATGGAGCAACAAGGTAAAAGAGGAAAAAAGATAAGAACACTTCAAATACACTGCTATCTGCTCACTAAGATATATAAATCAGATTAAAATAATACAGGGAGACATATTAACACCTGGGTTTTTGACTCTTTTTTTTCAGAGTTGTGTGAGGTTGTGGAGATGGAAGGAGCCAACTCAGAGGCTCAGGGTTCAGGACCTGTTCATTACCAGTGTCTTGACTGTCTGGCTCTGTTTGACTCATCTGAGACCTGGCTGGAGCACCGGCGAACCCACAGCAGGAGCAGCACACATAGTAACGCACAGGAGACAGTAAGGATCCCAAAACACTTGCGTTGTCTCAGAAAACTAATCACCAGCCATCTGATTAGTTTGACTGGATTAAATGTCAAGTTACAAGTATTGACAGTCTAACAATTGCAGTTTCTTAACGGAGTTTTGTCACTAAAATGACCATTTAAGGAGTCTGAAATATTGTACTATGCAACTACACAGTCAGAGAAACAAATATTGTTATTTGTAATTGATAAATAACTATTTCATAATGATTGACATAGAAAATTGTCACGTCTTTCATAAGTTTTTAACTCGCAGCATCTACTTTGGCATGTAGTTTTATTTTGCAGTAACATAATCATTAATATTTATAAAGTTTTATATGGGTCATTAGCTACATTATTCACGTTTAAAAGTCACTGTAGATTGCATCTAGAAATTGCAAGTAAATATATATCATAACATTTTTGATTGCATTTGGACTAAGTATGAATTTACTGTTGTTTGAAAAAGCAGACGTTTAATTGGCCAAACCTCAAATAGTAGGTCTTCAAAATGTTAGCTGGTCTGCTAAATAAATAAATACAGAGTCAGGGGTCTTTAAAATGTTTGAGTAAATTGATGTTTTCTATGTCTTTGGCAATGTGTACCTCTTATTTTATTTTATTTTTTGCTCTTGTGTAGCAGGAGTATGTGGTACAGCCGGACGGCTCGGTGACTCCTCTGAACAGCGTGCAGAACTTTGTGCTGAGTGAGCAGCAGGCTGGAGAAATCTTGGCACAGGTATTTTGTTTCAAGTTTGTAATAAAACATTATATTTTTTCTAATAGTTTTGGTCATTAGTGCATTTGTCATAAGCTTTCAAGTTCTGTTTGTTATTGAAGCGTTTTGATGGTGTTTTCCAGGTTCTTGCACACCAGAAGCAGCAACAACAACCGAAGAAACGTTTGTCTGTCTCTAAATCCCCCCGCTCCTACCTGCTGCCCCCAGTCACTCCGGCTCCAGGCTCTGCCACCATGCACCTGCAGATCCTCACAGCTCAGGCTCTGGCTGACAGCTCCACCTCTCTAAGTCCGCATCGCTACAAGCAGCCACCTCTGCTGTTTGTAGGCCAGAGCTCTCTAACAAAGCCTGTGCTTCTGGAAAATGGAGCTCAGAGAATCGAGTTGAGGCTGGCCCCTGCTGTGCACACTGACCACCAGCAGCAGCAAACAGAATTGGTAGTCGTCCACCCTTACGAATGCTCAGAATGCTCCCTTCTCTTCCACACCCCTGAGGACTTCCTCCGGCACCAAGGAGAGCACTTCCTGGGCCAGGATAAAGAGAGTGGAGGGCGGGGGGTCATGACTGGCCTTGAGGAGATGCGAGGAAGGGAAGAGCTTGCAGAAAAAGTCGAGAACATGAGGAGCAGGGGAATGGAGAAAAAAGCGGTGGTACTGGCCAAAACCCTGCAGTGTGAGCTCTGCAGCCGCACCTTCACCTCAGTCAACCGGCTGACTGCTCACCAGCGTGTGCACGAGGAGGGCACGCACAAATGCACTGACTGCGGCAAGTTGTTCAAGAAGGCCACGTCACTGCAGACGCACATGCGCACACACTCCGGTGTCGCACGCTATCTGTGTGTGGACTGTGGTGGTGGCTTCACCACTGAGATGACCCTCATCATGCACAGGTGAACACACTATCATTATCGCCCACTGCTAACAAATTACTGTATATTTAAGATTTGTGCAAAAATGGCTGTAATTCCAGCATATTTCAAAATAGAAAGGTCTTATTTTAAATTTTGTGTATTTTCCTCTTGTTTATTTTGCAGGAAGTCACATGTTGCAGATCCTTTCCATAAGTGTCAGTTCTGCAACAAAACCTTCACCAACATGACCAAGTACCTCTACCACCGTCGCACTCACCTCAACCACGATACATCTGACACAGCCACTCCTGTTTTCGTGGTAGGAAAATGTTTATTACCTTCGCTTTGATTATTTTACTCTCCCTTATTTTTGTTTTGTTTTTTATTTGACATAAATAATAGCCAATCTTCTGATTGGCTTTAGGCTTCACCTCCAAGAAGAGCATCTGCCACATCTCTTGCCATCCTGCAGAGAGCAAGAGAGATGAAAATCTCCCACCTGCTGTCTCTTTCGGAGAAAGAGATGGTAACATTGGAGAATCCAAATGAAATTGCCTCTAACCAAATGGACACAAGTAAGATGAAGCTGGAGGATGGTGAAATGCAGGTGTCTGAGCCAGCCCAAGGAAGCGCTGAAGAAAACAAACAGGTGGAAACTAAAGATGCCTTTATTTCAAATTCTGTTTCTTTGGATGACAGCAGAGTTATGACGAGCTCTGCTGTCACAGGAGAAGCTGCTTCGACCATGTCTCAAATCAAAGGAACTTTTTGTTGCCGTTCGTGTCATAAAACCTTTCCTTCTCAGCTGCTGCTGGCACATCATCGGCGCCAGTCTCACACCCTTCAGCGCAGGTTTATGTGCGGAATTTGCGGCAAGTCTTTTAAGAAGCAGATCCATGTGCAAAACCACATACGAATACATACTGGTGAGAAGCCCTTCCAGTGTTCTGACTGTGGGAAGACCTTCTCACTACTGGCCAATCTGATGAGGCACATGCTCATTCATTCTGGCGTGCGCCCGTACCGCTGTGATGTCTGCTATCGCTCCTTCTCCCAGTCATCAAACCTCCGTCAGCACAGCCTGCTGCACTCCAGCGCGCCCAGATTCACCTGCCCTGAATGTCCTGCAACGTTTCGTTGGGCCAACAAATTGGCTTCACATCGCTTCACCCAGCATCCAGGAGCTCCAGCCCCTTTTCCCTGCCCTCACTGTGAAGCTGGCTTCCTGACAAGAAGCGAGAAGGAGAGGCACTGTCTGGAGCAGCACCCCACACAGCTGCAGGTTGCAGAGGAGCGCGAAGAGGCCCAAAATCCTGCAGAGGAAAGAAGAGATCTCAGCTCAGAACCCTCTACCTCAACAACAATAGTTACAGAATCAGGGGACTCTACCTGTTTGGTTAAAGACACTTTAGATTGCAACATATGTGGGAAGAAGTTGAATTCTCCTGCCAATCTGCGACTGCACAGACTGAGCCACTTTGCTTTGAGCCGTGGGCGTCCCCAGTGCACCCCTGGCAAGAGACCTAAGGCTCACCAGTGTCCCATCTGTGGAAAACTGTTCGTGTCATCCTCTGCTGTTGCTCTTCACCAGCGAGTCCACACGGGCGAGCGTCCGTTCCCCTGCCAGGTGTGCGGGAAGCGCTTCCGTCAGAGCACGCACCTACGAGAGCACCTGCGCACACACTCCGGCGAGCGGCCGTTTCGCTGCGAAATGTGCGGGAAGGGTTTCATCCAGAGCATGCATTTGACGGAGCACCGCAGAACGCACACAGGCGAGCGGCCACATGCGTGTCACCTGTGCAGCAAAGCCTTCAAGACCCTCTCTAACCTGAGGAACCATAAAAAGACCCATGCCAGGCAGCAGAAGCTGGACGAGGAGGCCGCTGCCCAGGCTGTCATGGAGACCGGTGCTGCTGTAGCTGTGGTAGATGCTTCTACAGTTAATACACATCAGCTTATCCAGATCCAAACCTCCAATCTACAGCAGGTAAGAGCTCACAGTCACTGAACTTCACTTTAATAAGCTGCTTAAAGGGAATCATCGCCAAGCATGAAATCAAACAGAAGGTTAGCCTGAACTATGATAAATGGTGCAGTGTGAAAGAGACGACTAGTTTTTTTTTATATATTTATTGCATTTCTGAAGAGCAGGTCCACACCTACTGTAAAGATTGTGAGTGCGCTACATCAGGCTGGCAGTAGTCTGTAGGTTTACAAATGTGTTAGCATTGAATAAGCGTTGAATTTCAGAGAAAATGTTTAGTTGGAAATATAAAAGCAAATCTGCTGCTCAATGCTAAAGAAAAGAAGAAACGAGTAAGACAGCTGCCTGTAATAAATATTGGGGATCAAACTTAAGTGACATAAAGACGGCTCGACATTCAAACAGTTTTTTGTGAGACTACTGTTAGACCGGTGGGTTGAAAGATTTACCCGTGTTTAGTCTCTTTCAATGTTTCAGTAGGTAAACAAATGTACAATCTGGCTACACATTTTGTAAATTAAAGTGCTATGTGTTGTCATCATTTGTATGTTCCCATACAATGGCGAAATTAGTTCTCTGCATTTAACCCATTGCACCTGGGATGCACCCATGTGGAGCAGTGGAGCAGTGGGCAGTTATGTCAGCGCCCGGGGAGCAATTAGGGATTGTGCTCAGAGACACCACGGCATGTGGGAATGGCTGGGGATTGAACCTGGGACTTTCGGGTCCCGAGTTGGCTTCTCTACCTCTACGCCATCTTGCTTGCATGCAAATGTGTTCATTTTATTTCTTTATGATATTTTTAGTTTGGTCTTCATGACAATGAGCATTTTATTAGCTGTTTTTTTCCTTCCGGAACCAGGATTCTTCATATGAACAGGGTTCCTACTCAGTCCTGAAACGTATTTTCATTTTACAGGTCTGGGTATGTCTATAAAAAGGGATAAAGGAGTTTAGAAAAGCATTTGTGTTTCCAGACTTTATTCTCTATTGCATTTTATAAAAGGTGGAATTTAAATTTTCAAAGAAATTGCTCAAATAAGAATTTTTTCTTTTTGATTTATACAACAAATGGACAAAGTCATCATGATGTCCACTTTACATCAAGCTTTAAATTCAAGGTTGTAGCCATCAGTTTAACTCCTTTCACAAGACAAGCTCCACTTTTAGCTGCTTCTGCACATTCATAAATCCCTTATTGAGCTGGCCACGTCTTGCAACAATGTGAGCTTTCATAAATGAAGCCAACATGGCTGAGCATTAGCCGTGTAAGTAGACATGACCTACAGCTCAGCAGCTTTAACATGAAGCACTATTTTTTTTAAATGAGCTTTTGTTTTAATTTTAAATCCATGTGAGCCATTTTTAGTGTTTCACCTTAAAATCAACGTTTTTATCCAAGGCTATAAATTATGGAATTTCTAAACGGAAGCTGTAGGAACCTCTGTATTAATGGCAGGGTGCACTGTTTGTTTTGTGTCGTTTAGTTTTTATCTTAATATTCTTCCTCCCAGGCGCAGGGCACCCCCACCATCATGTGCAACGAGTTTGGAGAAACCATCGCCATCATTGAGACCAGCGAAGGAGGGGTGCTGCCTCTGGAGCAGGCGCTGGAGATCTATCAGACGGCTCTGGAGAACAGCCTCGCCGTGGACACGGTCTCTGATGGGCTGCAGCTGCTCTGAGGAAGAGAATTAATGCTTCATCAGCACAGGTCTTAATACAGACCGAGACTAAACTATTGACTTAATTTAACGAAAAGATTGAAGCTAAAAATGATTTATGATATTTTTATTTTGATAATTTGGCAACCAGACCAAAGTACATGAGTGTCCCTGTTGAGCGAATCTTCAAGGATCAGTATTTATCATCTATGGAAGCGATGAAATGTTAATTGAATTGTTGCTGAATTGTTAATATACTTAAAGACCATTGTTTTGTGCCACAGATATCTGTATTATTAAATTTGGTGATTTGTATGTCATAAAGAAGTTTGAACTAAAATAAAAATGTTTTCTTAACATTTTCTAAATAAGAAAATTCAGTTAAAGGCCTAGCATTCCTTGAAGGAAAGTATAGTGCCCATTACCTTTCAGGGCATATTTTTACACTAAGCAGCCTGTGAGCACAGACTGCAGTGGAAACAATTTGAAATAGATTTTTGTCATGGATATATTCATAATAATGAGTCCTTAATGATTCCATGTGGTGATCCAGATAACTTTAGCATATAAACATTTCTTATATATAAATTGCAGTTTTTTAACAAATATCTCTTCAGACAATTTTTTTTCTGCCAGCTGTAGCACAGGGAAGTCTCTTGGTGTTTGTGAAGCTTGGGGAGTCCCTTTTTTATACTTTTTATGCTGAAAGCCCAGATAACATTAGTTTTCAAACCAGCACACTCCTAAATAAAACTAGCCTGTTGCCAGTCATGGTGATAAACTGACCATTTTTAACAAACTACGACTCATTTTAAAGCTTTTGAAAAGAAGAATTTACAAAGAAGTGTTTAAATGTTCCTCATTGTGATGTATTTAGCCAGCACGGGTCACGAATGTTAGGAAATGCAGAGTTGTGACCGTTTTGGTCAAACATCTGAAATAATTTGCTCAACCTTTAACAATATAGCGAGATGTCAAAATATGTGCAGCGAATGATTCTCAGATACTACCTCATGAAATTTTAGCTCAATATTTTCAAATTGGCTGAGCCATTATTTTTTGTTTACGCTCTGTTGGCGGTGGCAGCCATCTTGATTCAGGTTGACTGACGTGATGTTCAACTACAGGATTCAGGCAAAAACAAAAAGCTGGATACAACAATACATTAGCTTAAATAAATGGAAAAATTAGTAACAATCAAAATTTAAATAGTGTTTCCAGTTTACAAAACACTCATTCCTGACATGTCCAGCAGAAATATCACTTATAACTACTTTTAGCTGCACAAAGCAGGATACAGATTAACACTGAAATTATTTCAGTTAATGTGAAACAGGTGAACCACAACATTAATGGTCTTATTTTTGTTCTGTTTCATGTATTTATTCTTCAGTAATGATGTTTTAAAATTCAACTTATGGTCAATGACAGATGTTTTTTCCATATCAATATTGAGTCTACTGACTCTACAGAAATTATTTACAACACAACCAAGTCTTGCACAAAGACACAACCAGTATTATGTTCTACCAGCTCTCTTTGATTCATCACCTCCCTTTACTTCCTCGGGTTATTTTTCCAACAGTCTAAAAAGGGAGGTCAGGAGAGAGCAATAAAGTGACAAAAGGAGGAAGGAGGGGAGGACAGAGGTGGAGGGAGGAGATGTATAAGAAGTGTGGAGGCTATAGAAATGAAGCTTAGCATGGGAGAGAGGCATACAAGGTTCTCTAAAAAACACATGGCTCTTCACTGTTCAATCAACGGAAAGGTCCATGTTTGTGTTCTTGTTAAAATGAAGAGTAAAAAGAATCGCACCACAGGTCCTTGCTGAGGTGAGAGGCCAGTCAAGGGAAGACTAAGATGGAGGAACTTTACATGAGTGAAGCAGCAGCCATCTTCAAAATCATTAAAACCAAACATGAAAGCTGCTCCTGACAGAAATAAAGAAAACATCTGCCAGAAAACTAAAAACTGGACAATGATTCACTGTAATGATATAATAAAAATAGTACGACAACAAATTGAATATGAAAATGTTAAATATAAATCAAAATCTTCAAAACAAGTTAATAAAACTGCTTGGCAATAGAGGATTAAGGTCTTTTGAAGCCTGACCTCTACATCTAAGAACCAGGATGTGCCCGGTGACCTTTGACCCTCCTCCTTCCTTCATGGCTAACGAGAGGCACAGGAATGCTCGGTTCCCACCTACTGGCATCTGTGAGGGTCGGTCCAGGAATGATGGCACCGCCAAAAGTCCGCTTGAATTTGTTTTTTGGTACACCCTCCTCTGAAGGTCTCCAGGTGAGAAAAATCTCTCAAGGTCCACTGAAATTCTACATTTTGAGTCCAGTCACATTGTTTCAGGCTGCTAAGGGACCAGCCCTCAAACGTCAGCGAAAACGAGTCACAACAGTCGAGTTTTCATACAGGTTGATCCTCCAGCTTCCTGCCTTTCCTCATCTAAAGGGATTTAACAACAACAAATATCAAAACATAGATCTAGCTCTTTAAAACCGTTCATTGTCTCAGTCAAGCAGGTTTCTCTTTCCAAAATAAAAACCGTTTCATCTTCAAGGCAAATGAGTGCAGCCGTGCATGATGGTCCTTCATTCACTGGCATCGATGAGTCTCGAGGGGGGCGAGGGGGTAATACATAGTGCTAATTCCAGTCTGGGAATGAAGAGTCTGTAATATGTAGGATTTTCTGTGCCACTCTTTTTTTTAAATATCCATTTTTGGTGCAAAGTCCACACGTTACAAAAACTGAGTCCAGATATTGCAAACAATCGTGTCTCACTCTCAGTGACCGCAGGGAGTTCAGGGTGTGGATGTGGATAAGCTCGGAGGGTGGAAGAGTGTGACACGAGGAGTTACTGATTGTCTGCCGTCACTCATCTAGAGGAGTCCTGGGAGTCACGAGGATCCTCTGGGCTCGTTGCTGCCCCCTGCTCCATCTCTTCATCCTGCAGATCTCCACCTCCCTTTGCAGATCCCTCCCCTGACTGGGAGCCTGATGGTCCCGGGAGCGAGATGGAGTCGGAGGGGCCTAAAGTGGGGGCGTCGGAGGGAGCTGCAGTCTGCATGATCTTCTGCCGCACCTCCCTGATCTTCAGCTGAAGACACACTTTGGTGGGAAATATGTCCGAGTATCTTGTCTGGAATGCTGCAGTGGCCTGGGCTGGAATGAGAACGAGGATTTAGAAACCGTCCCCGGAGCTTGTTTGTACAGAAACTTCTGGGGAGTGTGTTTCCGTGGGCGTTTGTCTCCTACCTGATGGAAAGAAGCCCTGCTCCTGGAACAGCTGCATGACGAGCGCTCTCCTCTGGTCTAGTGTTCGGCGCAGGGACGAGTACGGCACCTTTTCAAACTCCAGTTCTGCCAGGATGTCTTCTCCATCTGTCACTGGGAACACAACACAAACAGAGACTGAGCCTTCAGGAAACTAGTCAGATCGTAGAAATCAGACAAAACATCAGTTCAGGTCAGTGATTCATATCCAACATGTTAGATAAACTTAAAGCATCAAGAAGCTTCTTTTGACTACATTTCATAGTACCGGTATTTAATCTACTAAAACTTACAGAAGTATTACTTAATCCTACACGTTTTCTGAAAGGCTGCTAATATTCCTGCTTCTACAACACAACTCTTATTTCTTTAATATCTGTACAAAAATAAAATCAGACAAAACTTTGCAATTCATTGTTTTTGATTTGATATTTTCCAAATATACTTTATAAATCAGATATCTAAAATGTTTTTTTTTTGTTTCTAACTTGAAGGACCAGAGCGAAGCGCACAGTTCTGTCTAAAGATAAAACTTTAAAAAGAGCTTCTTGTCCAGAACATCAAGCAGCAACACTGACAACCACAGCCTCGTTAAATCCAAGTTTAGAGAAGAAACTAGAGGCTGCGTAGTAAAATCTGTGACATCTTTAAGTTTTATAATAAAAACTTTGCAGTTGTTGCATTTTTGCTGTCCCAGATTTTATACACTGAAACTTTTATATTCAAACAAAGATAGAACAAAAAGACAAAACAAGAGCTCGTCCTCAGTCTGTTGTTTTGCCCAATAATCGTCAACTGAATGAAATTACTGCCGATCTAATGAGACCACAAGAAAATTATTATTTGTAACTGGAATATGTCACTGACTTTTTCTTTTTGATTTTCTGAGTTTATTACCTGTCCTGTCAAAGGTGAAGATGTCTCCCTCACACTTGGCGGCACTTTTAGGCGTATTGGGCTCGGAGCTGCAGCTGGAGCGCCGCCGACTCTTTCGCTTCGGAGAAACTTGCTCATCAGGGGCAGAATCCATATCTATGGGGGGGGGGGGGGGGGGGGGCTTTACATATTTACTAATTCCCACCCCAGGCAAAAAAAAACACCACAAAATCCTCTTCTTCTTTTGCAAAATTAAACATAA